CCTTGTAATCTTGACATAAATCCTCTTACCTCGAAATTTTATTTACTTGATTAAAGCTTCTCTAGTCTTCTACACACAAAAATTGTATCACATATAAATCTTTTTATAAAAACAATATTAAAAAATTTGTATTTATAGAAAAAAATATAGCTTTGAAATATGAAAATTTACTTACAAAGTTGAAAGGTTAAAAACATAAATTAATTTAGAAGATAAACCATATACATGTATTTATCCAAAGGATAAATAATTTTAAGAAAATAAATTAAATAAGATATTTTAATTAAGAATTATTCTAAGAAGTGCAAAAGTTATTAACATTTTTATTAAAATAATATAACATAATATTTAAATATTTTTATAATATTTTAATTTATAATAAAAATAATTTAATTTTTTTGATTATCTCTTATAATAATATATAATATGATATATGAGGATAAATATCAATTTTACCCAAAACAAGTCCACAAGGGTATGTGAAATTTAACAGCCTTTGCCACAAAATTCCAATAAAGAGACTAATATCTTGTTTGACTAAAGTGAACTTAGAGAGAAATATGAGAACCAAAGTAGATTGATATTATCATCTTATTTTTAACTAAAACAATTAGAGATTTTAATTGGTGTGAAATAATTTTTTTTGATTAAGAATATTTTATCTTTTACTAAACTCTATGGGATATAAATATAAATCAATCAATTAAATTAATAAATTTCACATAATAGATAATTATAATAAATAAAAAACTATCCATAATTAAATTGCCATTTAATTAACTGAAAAAATCAATAATGACTATTTTATTGATTTAGTTATACATTTAAACATATATACAAATTAAATCATCAGTAAAAAAAGAAGAGTAGATGCTGCATTATCTCAATTTACGTTAATTTATAGAATAAAAATTTGTGAAATGTGCGTATGATTAAAATTTCTATTTTGTAATAAAGATTTTCTGGTATGAATTAAATCGTTAATCAAAAAATATTAGGGCGGAAAGAGTTTCACCGTTGACAGCATATTGTTACAGTTAGAACCCTAATTTTGTTCGTAGAGAATTAGGGGAATTAGAAACACAATTTGGCGACCCACCGTTGCTCGTTTTCTTCTCCGACCGTCGTGTCGGCTAAAGGGGCTACTGAAAATGGCAAACATTAACAACAAAGATGAACCAAGTACAGCGCCACAGCCAGATCGCTGGTACAATTTGAGTTTAGGTTCTTCCTTTAAAGATCACCAACCTTCTTCAAAGTTCTGTACTTTACGATGTAAGTTCTCCAGATCCCTCTCTCTTTTGCTACTTTTAGATCATAGTTTTTGTCTTCTATCTAGATACGAGGAACGAATTCTTTTTTTCTCTGTTTTTTTAATGTGTAGTTTTTGAAATTGGGTATGGAAGGTTATAGTTTTATTTCAATTGGGCTGAATTTATTTTGCGATTATGTTGTGTGTTGTGGAAGACAAGTGAAGAACAAATTTTCAGATGCAAATTAGGTGCAGTGACGTTTATGTGATTATAAAATCTAAAGATACATATGTATGTTAAGCCAGAAATGGAGAAAATGTTTAGTTAGCTGCGTTTCAGTTGGCCATACTGACATCAACTGAAAATTTTATGAATGGCGAAAGGATGAGATTTGCACAATTTTCCCCAACTTTTTTTTTGGTGCTATTTGATGTTATTGTTGTTTTAGTAGTTAGATTTTATCTTTCTTGTAAAATGACAATTGTTTTCGTTTCTCCAGATGAATTCAAACCTGCTTCAATTGATAAAAACCAACCTGGAAAACTACATAAGACCAAGGACAATAAGATTTCTGTTGAATTTCAAAATAACCAGCCTGGTAAACCTAAGGTAGTCTTTGATGGAAGTAGCGAGGATTACAAGGAAAATGATGCTGTTCTTTTCTTTGATGGTGAGTCATTCCGGCTGGAGCGGTTACATAGAGCAGTTAAGCGGTTGAGGTATAATCGACTCCCCGGAGAATCCGCTGCGGCAGTAGCACCTGGTCCTTCTCGTTCTCCTGCTCCTTCTCCAATTGGAATGCCTGTGGAGACACGTTCACCACCAGTTGCCAAAGGGGCTAAGTTTCAGTCTCTTAATAAGCCTGCAGTTCCTGTGCCTGCTGTACAAGTGAGTTCTTTGCAAACTTACTTTCGTCTCTTCTAGCTTATTTACAGCAATATGATATTGTGATATATTCGTGTGCATGACTTTTGTTATGTATACTTACAATCTGAAGAAATAGCATTCCTATTCTCTGGTGAAAGATTTCAAGTTAGATGACTTGCCAAGCTAATTAGGATTGCCAAGATTATAAAGTACTGATAAAAAACACCTACTCAGGTGATTAGGTGTCATGGATCATATCTTTTGACAAGTTTATCGGGAAGAAATGGAGTAAGCTTAATTTGCACTTGTATGTATAGTCCATTAAAAGTTTGTTCCAGATAGAACCGTATTAGGTATGCTTCAATATTTGGGTGATATACAGAAGTCTATACCAATTGGGATACAACTAACCATGGCATTCGACAGTGATTTCATTATGAATTTTCTTGGTTAGCCTCATCCCAATCAGTAGATCTCCATTTTAATTTCTAATTATTCAAAATTGACAATGTCAGCTGCTTCCTTTTCCTGTCTCGTCCAATCAGCACATGTCATTTCATCACCTGCTTTGCAACTCTCAGTTTTCAATGATATATTCTTCTTTGTATGAAAACCAACAAGGAATCTTGTTCAATAACTGATCAAGTTTGTATCAAAGATTCTTTGTTGCATTGTAGTTCCTGTCTAAACAAGGACTTTCCGTAGTTTTAGAATGCTAAACTGAGCCGGATGGTGCGCTGTTCCTATTGTCACATCTAGTACTTTGCAAAGTCATTGTCGCTGCACATGTTGTTATTCTATCCACCCATTCTTCTTGTTTCAACTTAGCAAACAGAAAATGTGGGGTCTGGAGTCAATGGATACATTGTGTCTATTGCCCAACAACTGTATCGCCATTGACTTAAAAGTGCAGTCTTGGCGCGTTGAAGTGACAGGTTTTTCTTGTTTAAGTCATGCTTGAATTTGTGTAACTAACTTCGTGAGACTATCTTTAGATGATTGTATTGCCAAAAATGTTAGTATTACTGTATGTCATTGATTTGGTAATCGGCCAGTTGTTGTGAATTTGACAGGCTACAAATGTCTTACGAAGAAATAGTTCATGTTTGAATTAAGTCTATCACTCCTTTAATGACTTCTGATGAGTCTCATCAACCTCTCATTTTTTCACATCATGTAGCTGCCTTCTATATTTCACCTTTCAGTGTTTATTTTTCCTTTTGCCTTTCATGAAAAGGGGAAAAATGATTAGTTTGACTGTTTCCATATTCTCCGTAGTTTTGACTATTACATCAATATCTCAAACTTCTGTTTAATGTTGTTCAGGTTGAGGTGGAAAGGATCGAAGTTGGTGACTTTAGAAGTTCAGGTATTTTTCTCAAAGTGAGCTCTGTATACTAGTGTTAGGCTGAAAAACAAGGAAGGGGCTTTTGCCTTGTGTTTGGTTAAATCTTCAATGGAGGAGTCTAAGTTGCTATTAGGGAAATAAGAATGAGATGAAATGTGTTAAATATATCACTCAGATTGCCGGAATTATTTTTAATCTTAACACCAACCAAACTGCATATATGGCCTCAACTTGGAACTGAGTTGCAGTTGTCAATAGATTTATTAGGATGGAACCTAATGACTCGACAACCTAGCTTGACCAAAAAGATACCTCCTTCGAGACTTGAGCTGTCTGGAGTCTGTTTTCTACAATCTCTCAATTTAGGATAGACTAAGTCATATTGTATCATCCCCTGAGACTGTGACATGATATTTTTGATTTGATTTTTTCTTCCTTTTCTAATCAGTAGTTTGATTGAATCATGCTGCACACATCTCGTCTGTTTTACCTAGGAGCTCCTATTCAAAGGAACCCTGAAATCTCTGATTCCATATCTGCAATTCATGCTTTTTACTGTAGTGGCTGACTCTTTGTCTTCTAGATTCAAGACCCAAAAATGAGAAGATTGCTGAACATCCACCTTCACATGCAAATCATTCAACTGCATCACCAGACATGAAGTATGATGACCTGGATGAACAATTAGATATACTGAATGATGATGAGGATGATACTACCGCAGCCAATGGTGGGAATATTACTGTTGAAGAATTCAAAACTGGCATTGATATTAATATCCCACACCAAAATGATACAGATGATGAGATAGCTGATGTGGATGTAAGTGATGATGATGAGGACAAGGGCCGCAATGCTGCAGAAGAACTTAGAGCTCAGGTAAATGCAGAGGTAAAAGAGAATCATACTTCGAGTTCTAGCAGTAGTAGCAGCAGTGACAGTAGTGGAAGTGGGAGTGGGAGCGGGAGCGGAAGTGGAAGTGACAGTGCAAGCAGCAGCAGTGACAACGAAAGTAGTGACACAGTCAACTCTATCTGAGAACTTAAAAGTATTTTGGGGGTGAATGTCTCAAGTTTGAAATAATTCAAAGAGAAGCCACTACATTGCTTTTAGGTTCAGACAATGCAGTCGAGGATCAGGCCAAATCTCTATTGGCCGCCTATTTTGCTCTTCTTCTTGCAGTATAACTTTCTCCTTCTATTTATCTCATTTTTAGACTTTTTACGTAAGACATATAGGAAAACTGAAGAAGTTTGTACGTCAGGAAAGATGATTACTGTATCTGTTATATTGTAAATGCATCAAATATTTCCAAGCCTGGCACCTTATGGTTTTCATTTACCGGTTGTTGGAAAGGAGAAGAAATGTGAAAGTTCTTTTCAAGGAATATCAATATCGATAGGAGTATAAGTTTGACAGCAATACTAACCAATTTTTAGTTTATAGTTGTTACAGCAATGTCATAATTGCTACCAATTATCATTGGTTTGACATGAGTGAGTCTCTACTAATAGACCTAAAAGGATGTGATATGCTATATAAATCCCCAACAAAAATACCATTTCAAATGTTCTCTTTGTTGATAAAGGACCAGTTCAAATACTAAGAGGAGACATTGATACAACAGAAGGCTCAACTGACGTCGACCATAATATAAAAATTCCTGTTAATAATCTTACAATGAACCCTCAAGACGACATCTCATATTCAGTAGGGACTATCTGTTCAAGGCCACATGTATCCCAATACATTATAGAGGACTTAGAGCTTCATCTTTCTGTTCATTGCTCTGCTCATCATTTTGGAATAACTTTTCTTCAGAAGGCCAATTGTTCTTTCTCTTCCTGGTGCCTTCGGCCTTCCACTTATACCAAACTCGTGTTTTTGGTGGAGGTGCATCCTCGGTAATGGGTGCTACCAATCCTGGTTTGCCGTCATCTATAACAGCATCAACCAACCCGTATTCCTTAGACTCCCAAGCATTCATAAAATTATCACGATCAGTATCCACTTCAATCTAGAAAAAGAAAATGGAAGGATATATCAGAGTTAACTCGGCTAACTTGTACAAACAGAATTCATTTACAGTAAGAAACGGTATCTGAAATAATCACCTTTTCTAAAGGCTGGCCTGTAACTCTTGATAGTATTTTATTAAGCTTCATCTTGTGGTATCCCATTTCTCTGATCCGTATACCCATCTCTGTTGCCTAGAATAACAAGTCATATAAACAGAATTGTGAAAAAAATTAGAAAGACACACCTATGTGTTAACAACGAACATGAAATTAAACAAGGAGTATCTTGATTAATGAGGGGAAAACAGAACAAAGAAACAACTAAACTAGGAAAAATTCATGCTAGAACAATGGAAATCGATGTACATGAAACACGTACAGCAAAGAGACATTAGCTTAATAGTAGTAACATTTGTTGATGTGACACGTGGTGGCATAAATCACTCGGATAGCTTATTGTTGCACCAAAATGTTAGCACATGACTGGTAAGAACTAAGCCACATAGTAGAAGATCATGCCACTAAGTACAGTATTGAAGTGAAACGTTGTCTACAGCTTGACTCAGTTGAATTTCAGAACTGTTACAATCAACTCCCGGTTGGATCAAACTCATAACTCAATATTACTGACCAGTGTGTACTTTGCATGTCCGAAAGGAATCAAGATCGAACAACACAAACCCAACATGAAACCAAAGCATGCACAATACTTTGGCTTGGGTCCAAGTCTAACAACACCAAATTTTCACGTGCTCTCACAAACAAAGAAATCAAGCGTTCACATTAGATGTTGCATGGTGAAAATACTTCACATGAACCAAACACAATTCACAGAAGTTCGTTAGACATACTTGACAATACTAGAACTTTTATATGAAGTAGTTGAATGAATTTCAGTAATTAGGTTTGGGAATTGTATAAATTATTAAGTGTAAAGTCAGAGTCTCCTAAACTTAACAGTGCCCATATCTTTTAGTGAGCAACAAGTGTGCATGAACAAGATAACTACAATCCTTAATGTGGTGAATTTCCTAGCTCAATTGACAGGCTTACAATGACTTCATTCTCTCAAGTCTCCTATAAAGATGAGACTTGCCAAAGGAGTCCCTCAATACCACTCAGACAAGCTTCTGGCATCTAATTGGCCCAAAGTACTCCTTGTGCATAAGACAAATATTTACTCAGAAATACTATTAAATTGCAAATGAATCCGTAAATCACATAACTAATCTCCGTGGATCTCAATCTAATTAATTCAATAAAATATCATTAGCTTTGCTAGCCAAAATATTATTACAGAACTCACACGAGGTTTATGCTTTGTCTTCCTTATTGAAAATATAGTCAGCGGACCTAGTAAGTCCTGAAAAGCTGCTAAAGAATCTGACAGAACCAATTCAAAGTTGAGTAAAAGTTCAAGCCATCAGGTATAAATGTGACTGAACTTCTGTGATACTCATACAGTAGAGGACTAGCTGAATGTCTAAATTTAAACATGACCAATGAAAGCTCAAACACTGCGCCTGAAAACTGACTATATTATGCATGTTGTATGAACATATACCCATTACTAGCATAAATGTAGAGAAAAAGCTTTAACCCCATTTCGAGAGGACAGCCCCCAACATTTCGACTGCGGGAGATAGAGAGGATGGGAAGTGAGAGAGGGGATCTAACATATTTTAGATGGAATGAGTTAGTTAGACCAATAAACTATTAATTATATGCCAAACACTTCTAGGATTAATCCTGCAATCAGTCATGTTGGTATTATTACGTGTTGTTCAGACTCTACAGCAATCCATTCCAGCAAATGAAATGCTGCAGGGACAGCCACTAGCAATTGGATGCGCATATCAACAGTAAGACATAGCAATCTCTAACATAACTCATTGATGTCAGTGATATGACTTCTGATATGCTCCAGAAAGATAAATTGAATAGAATGAGATAATACTGACAAGTAGGTCAACTAGTGAGCAGTAAGTCTAAAAAATAAGGATTTTTCAAGTTTTTATGAATTGCAGGATAGGAAGGGAGAACAGAATGATCTTTTGGTCTCTATAGTATGAGACACAACTTTAAAAAAGATCAGAAGAATACACCCGAAGGGTAGCGGCTGCAGTTTCCCTTGTCATAAAAATAAAAAATGAAAAATCAGAAGAACATTTGTCTCCTGAGATGACCAATTTCCAATGTTGAAAATTATTCATAAATCAGAAGATAAAAGTTCTTGCAGAATCAGGAACTCAGGATGCAGAGATGACTCAGTGTAGAAGAGAAGAGTGTTCTCCATTTGAACCCTTCAGTCAAGAAAGTCTCGGCCTTCGGGTGTTTGGATATTTGTGTATCATAAGAAAATAAAAAGCTTAAGAAAAGCAGCTCAATTAGAGCAAACAAATAGAAGTGAATCAAAGTTGAACCAATTAGAAGCCCTTGCGTAACTTAGGTTTCTCTCAAAGCAGTGTCAAACAAAAGCAAAACACTACAGCAAGATATCATGAAATTGTTGAGTAAAGCAAAGTGTAAACACATACTTTACCACCAGAAGTTCCAAGTGGTTGATGGATCATCACTTTTGCGTTTGGCATGCAGTACCTCTTTCCCTTGCTGCCAGAAGCCAGGAGAAACGCACCCATGGATGCAGCCAATCCCATGCAGATAGTAGAAACATCAGCCTTACACATTTTCATGGCATCATATATTCCCATTCCTATAAAAAAAAAATACATCAGTCGTGTTTATAAGCACAGTGGGAAAGAAGTGATGGAGAGCAGAATGGTATTATAAGGTGTTATTCTCCCTCTAATCTCTACCTAAAATCATTCAGAAGCCAAAAGAGTTTTTAACAAGCAATTACTTGGCACGTTGTTCATATTTAACAAACAAAAAAAGGAGATAATTCACCGTTCAAGCTAACAACAAATTAAATCAGTTCTATGTCACCTTTACAAACACCAATAATTTGAGTAAGCAAAGAAAAGGATAGCATCAGATTGCAACCAAAGTAAATGAACCATTTAGACATACCAGCAGTTACTGAACCACCAGGTGAATTAATGATCAATCTGATGTCCTTTTTATCATCTTCTGCATCAAGAATTAATAGCTGGCTTATAATAAAATCCGCAGTAATATCATCTACCTGTTCAATACCAAATAATTCCCCAAGTATTAGAAACAACTCCACAGTTCTATGATTGAAATACAAGATAGATACTTTCTCTCTGCCACGTTCTAAACACAAAGTAATCAACCACATATATCATCCACTGACCATTCAATAACAAATCAAGTAAAAAAGAATGGTCATGCAGAACGAAACACCATCTGTTTGGCCAATAGAATAATGTGAATTAGTAATAAACACGAAAAAAACCATCTAAGGAAAAAAAAAGAATCTTTTTATGAGACTGTGACACATTCTCTAAGCAATACTAATTAAATCAAGCAAGCTGCAGCAAAATTAACAAAGAACAGAAAATCTAATTCATGTCTGACCAATTAAACAAGCCAAGTACAAAATTAAAATTTTGATTACACATAATGCCAGAACGAATAAAAGAACAAAAAAAAAACAAATCTTTACCAGAACAGTGGCAACCTGACACTAATTAAGCTAAGCAGAATAGAATACGGAACCAATAAAAAAGATAATTGAATTAAGAAACCCCAAATCTTAATTAAATTAGTTCGAACCTGAGAACCCAAGAAGATAATCCTTTGACGAAGAAGCATATTGGTGGTATCAAGTTCTTCAAATCTGGGCATCCAAGCAGGGGCTTTTGAGTAACTGGAAACATCCCAGTTCGTCGATAAAGTCGGCTTGTGGGTGGACGCTTTTACTGATAATCCTCTTCTTGGTGTGATTGTATTTGTCTGAAACTGTTTAACAAAAGTAGAATTGTAATGAAGGCATGTTGAAGGTCTGGCTGGTGCCAAAGCTGTGCTAAATGTTAGACAACTTCCCTCCATTCGTCTTCCACTCTTTTTCTGCTATTAGGGGTTTTTGGCTAAGAGACTCCAAAGATTGATTTTTTTTTTCCACTTCTTTTAACAGAGAGATATTACTCTCTCATATATTTCGGATGAAAAAACAATTATATATAAATATTTATAGTTTATTCTTAATCATACATAACTTTATTTTTGAATTTGCTATCCAATCAAATATTAATTATTTAATGATTAATTTTTTTTGCATTTTGTAGTTTTACATACCTAATATATTTCAAAACAAGAATGTGTGATTTCTTTTTATTTTAATGTTCCTTTTATTTTTCTCTATTTATATATTTACTTAATTTATTTTGTGAAATGGTAGACTAAATAAAAAAATAAAAAATAAAGATGGAAAAGATATTCCTATATCATTATCATTATTACATATTGAAGTGAGTTTAAAGCTTGTGCTATGTAATTATATTCATCGCAGTTTTTCTTTATCAATTAAAAATACAAGTAAATTTGTTATATTAAAATCGATATTTTTATAACATCTTACTTAAAAAAAAATTCAATATTTTCAAGAATTTTACGTTAGTATGTTTCATCTTCTTGAATAAATAAATACCTCATATTTTTTAGCAACAAATATTTGGAAAAAAAAAAGTAGACTACTATTCCTCAAAACAAAAATTATGTTATCTTCTTCAGTTATGATTCGGCGCTTTTGCAGTTTCAATGTCACCGCTTCTTCTTCTGCCATCACTTCCACTACCAAGAAGAAGCGTCTTGTGTTTCTTGGTTCTCCTCAGGTTTGTTTATCTGGGCACATTGCTTTCCATCTCCCCTTTCTTGATTTTATAAAAAACATGAACTTTTTATCAAAATCTTGTTGTTAATTGCATAATTATAGGTATCTGCTTCAGTACTTGATGCTTTATTCAATGCTTCTGCTGCCCCAGATTCACTTTTTGAGGTATGGTTACAGAAATTGCTTGTTCCACTAGTGCATCATAACATAAGTTATTGGAATGTAATGGGTGCAAAATGTTGTGGAATACATATGGAGGATTTATTAAGTTGATCTCAACTAGTTTAGGATTGAGTCATGGTGGTGCTTGTGTTATAATTCCAACTGAGGTGTATTCTTTTTTTCATCTGGGCATAGACCTAATGTTGTTAGATGTTTATATACAAATGTTTGTGATGCCTGTGAACAAGAATTTCTGGAAAGACTTGATTTTTGACTTCATTGTGTAATTAGAGTTGAAAGCTGGATTTAATTACTCCACCTAATTGTTTTGTACACAGTTTATTATATGTGAACATAGACAATTTTCATTTATACCTCTCTTTTCTTTCTCTTTTTCCTTTTAAGTAATTTATCTTTGTACTACTGTAACATATAAACTTGTTCTTTTAAGTTTACTGACCAGTCTGTTTCTTTTTGGATTATATTAAAGTTTTCACAAACTTATTATTTCCTCGGGCAGTATTACACAAATTCATTTTTGGGCTGCATCTACCTTTTGCAATTCTCAATCAAATCATACTTATATTATGCTGACCACAATGTTGCTCTTTAGGGCTGCATCTACTTATGGTCAGCATAATATAAGTATCTTTTCAGTTTTGGATTGTATTTGAACATTGTGGATGGGGTGCGAAACTGAGCTACTTTAACGTTGGTTAGATCACAGCCATTGTTACACAACCACCATCTGGAAGGGATAGAGGAAGAAAAGTAATGCCTTCACCAGTTGCACAGCATGCTCTTGACAGAGGCTTCCCTTCTGATTTGATTTTCACACCTGTAAAGGCTGGCGAGGTAACTACAGTTATTTACTATTTATGTATTTGGCATTTGTTCGATATGTCACTGCTCCTCAGATGTCTCCCTGATGTAAAATTCTCATGGTGCCTTTTAACTGAAATCATTTTGTATGTAGAAAATTAAGTTTTGGTTATAATTCTTTAGGACGTAAAATCAGATGCATTCTCTAGGTTGCGAGGAAGGTAAAAAGTTAGAAGGCTATGTTTATTTTAATGACCAGTGATTTTTCCTAACAAGTTAGAAGACCATCTTTTAACAAGTTTTGGTTATAATTCTTTAGGACATGAAATCAGATACATTCTCTAGGATAGTGAGAACAGTAAAAAATAAAAGTCTATGTTTCTTTTAATGACCAGTGATTTTTCCTAACAATTAAAAAATGATGCTTCAGTTATGTGAAAAACCAAGTTGCTTCCTTCATGCATTTTTATGCTTTTGTGCCCGTTGAAAGTTGTCTGATCAATCTTCAGAAATTGTAAAATTATAGTGAATGGTTTCCGTTGGACATCTTTTTTTAACTGTGCTATTGTAGTGCAGGAAGCATTTCTTTTCAACTTTAAATCCTTGGAGCCAGAGCTTTGTGTTACTGCTGCATATGGGAATATTTTACCCACAAAGTTTCTGAATATTCCATCAAAAGGTTAGGCAATAGACTGCTAATTATTTTGCAATTTTATTTTGTAGATTCCTAGTTCTTTGTTAATGTGGCATTTTTCATATTTTCAAGAGGTGGAGTTCGGGAGTTGTCAGAGTTAGAATCATTTTCACTTGATTAAGAACTCTTAATTTCTTACTTTAGCTCATGGTAGACTTTAGGCTAGATTATTCTCGTATTTGGCATTCCCTTTGGTTTAAGAAGAACTTTCCTCAAGAATCCTCTACAAAAGTAAGTCATCGAAATTTGCTTATGGAAAACCTGGAATTCTAATAATTAAATTCGGTGCATTTCTTTGGTGATTCATAATGGAGAATCTCTGACAGATGCTGGATGTCACTGTAATTCAATTACTAAAGCTTAGCCGTCTAGAGGGATTTGAACAGCTGATGCATAACATGATTAACTGTATATTTTGGAGCTAAAACCAAGACGATGGCAGCGCTAGTTGTAGGGTTTTCACCCTTATAATGCAACTGCTTTCAAAGATTTTTTTTCCTGCTTAAGCTCAATTATCCGAATGAGCTTTAGTCTTTTTGGTCTTGTCAAGCAGGAACGGTTAATATACACCCAAGTTTACTGCCTCTATACCGTGGTGCAGCACCTGTACAAAGAGCATTGGAGGTTTCTTTTTTTTTTTTTTACAATCTCCTGAAAGCTCATAGAAATTATGAGTTACTTGTTCCATGGATATATGATTTTTGCAATTGTGTATATAATTTCAGGATGGTGTTAAAGAAACAGGGGTGTCATTAGCTTACACAGTTCGTAAATTGGATGCTGGACCAGTTATTGCTTGTGAAAGAGTAACAATTGATGATCAAATAAAGGTCTTTATGGTTTTCTTTCCAGAAATCTTGTTTTTGATTGGTTTTGTCATCATAGGTAGATGCTTGATTAAGTTCTTCAAGTCCATTGTGCTGGATGCAGCAAAAACTGATTTCCAGTGCTTGCTATTACTGGAAAAAGAGTCTCGTGATTATTCCATTTTTCAATTTTCATCAAACGGCTAAGGTTGGTGTATAATGGCACAGATACATAAAAATGTGTCATTATACTCAGTAGTTTTAACTTATTCACATTGTTGCTCCTCGACTTATTTGTACTCTGGGAGCTACATGTGTGTGGACTCCCCCCTTCTGGGCAGCACCTTTATCTCTTGATGAAATTTCTGACTGATATTATAATATCTGTTTGCAGGCTCCAGATTTACTTGACTTACTATTTAATCTAGGTTTGTTACTTTCATTTTCTACTCCCTGCTCTTTACTAACTACAAATCAGTGTTAAAATGCTTGTCATCCTGGATGGATGAGATGTGTATCTTAGTTTAAAAGGCAACCTTTTTTCCTGTCTGTGTTATTGAATGCATCATTTGGCCTTAGAATTGAAGAACAGAATGTTCTTAGGTTTTATTTTGGTCACTGCAAGTTACTTGTGTAATAGTTAGAGAATCTTTGGCAGGGTTTTAAGAGGTAGTATTCCAGTGTGATATCGTTTCGAAATTCTTCTGACCAAATTACAGTAGGTGTTGTTTTCTGTGATATGTGCAGATATTGGGATGTCAAATATTTTTCAAGATTCAAATTCCATTTTTTCAATAGCTCATGGCTTTTTGTTCCATTCAGGTTCCAAACTTCTAATTCGTGAACTTCCGTCCATATTTGATGGGTCTGCAAGTGGAATAGCAGAAGAGCAAGATGACTCTAAAGCTACCCTGGCTCCCAAGGTAAAAATCACCCCCGTGCAGTGTTTCCACCGTTTGGTGCATTTCTTCCCAGTTTCAAGTGTAATTAGTAAATCAAATGGGGAGGTGGGTGCATAAAACATCGTGGCATTCAGCACAAGTTTTCCTGCATCAGCAACATTATAAGGTCCTGAGAAGATTGAGATATCAGCCATCTTTCCAGGATAATATGCCCCAGTATCATATACTGAGTTTAAGGGAAGGCTTAAGCAGACTTGCATAACAAAAATTTCAAGTTTTGTGGTTGGATATTTTATAGCCAGGACAGATATGCCTGTTATCTACCTAGAAACCTCTTATATTTATTAGTACATTAAAGTTATTACTTAAAGGTGTTGGCTTCCATTTGCCTGGTATAGGTGATTTTGAGAGAAAGAAACTCAAGATGTTTTGAAGAGAAATACATCAGTCCAGTGGATTAGCTGGAGGAGTGAGCTAGTCCTAGGTTCATTTTCACTGGAGTGAGCTCAAAATTGAAAAGTTTTGCATATCCTGTTTGTGAAACATAAGAAACTTAAGTTCATTTCCCCTTCACATTTCTGGCGTATTTGATTGCTTTTCAGCATATTTTCACATGAAAAATCCTCTCTTTTTCTTTAATTTTATAGAGAATAGTTGAATGAAGGTCAAGCATATATTATCGCAGGCAGACAGTGGATCCTATTTCACAAAACATGTCTGCACCATTGCTTGCACGTTTAGTGCTCCTGACACTAAGCCCATCCCAGTTTGAAACTTTGTGCCATGCTTCACTAGTAATGCGTAGGTAGAGTTACATGAGAACTAAATCCATCTAAAAAGTGAAATACGTATCACGGTTGAAGTGACACCAATAATGGGTCTCAAACTGTTGCACACTATACTTCTTTTTGTACAATTTTTAAACAATTATGTTTTCGAAAACCATTCGGTGCATTTATGCAGATTTTATCTTTTTTCTTGGCTAATCAAATTTCTGATAGACCGTCTGAAATTCTGGCATAAGACTCTGATTTTCACTTCTTGCAGATAACTCCTGAGGAGTCATGGCTATCGTTTGATGACGATGCCCAAGTGCTTCATAACAAGGTATTCTTCTCAATTATCCTTTAATCTGGGCTGAGTGATCATGACACAGTAGCTTTTAGGTTCGGGCATTTGCAGGATGGCCAGGAACACGAGCTAGACTTAAGGTTATTGACCCTAACAATGGCGAGAGCAGTATTATAGAGCTTAAAATTATCACTACTCGGATATATGGTGGTATCAATAGTCAAGATATAGAGGCCAATGATGTGCTTTTCACCAAAAGTTCACTGGTAATTCCTTGTGGTGGGGGCACGGCACTGGAGGTGAGAAGATTATGTGCCTTAAAATTCAAGAATATTTTGATTCAAGGTGCAAGGTCTATCAGCATTTATAGGCTTAGATTCTATGGGTTGCTCTAGTTTCATATCGTCCTAAATTTGTAAAATTACACGAGATCCACCATGATGCCGGCTTTCTATTCATGTACAATGACCTTTAATTTTCCATGCTGATTCACAATTGTACATGCACTGTATCTAGAACCTCTATGCACTTTAAATTTGCTGTTTCTTGGCTATTAAATGGAGGGTTGGGTATGATTTTGTTCATCTAAATTTACAGCTCTACTATGAATGTATTGGTTGTGTGCATACACATTTATTTGACTCCTTTCAAGTTTTCCTCATGTATTTGTCTTGAATCTTTTGTGGAGATAGATAGATAAGGAGGAGGAGGGGGGTAATTAGTTGTCTGCAGAGCATGGACACTTCTTTTTTTGTAGATAGATCTGCTAATATGGGCAGTTCTAATATTAGAGGTTGATTTCTATTGTTGTCTGCATCTTCTTTTTCTTGGTATGTTACACTGATTTTGTAATACTTACAATGCTAGTTTTTTTGGTATTTCAGGTTTTGGAAATTCAACTTCCTGGCAAGAGAGCTGTTAATGCAGCTGCATTTTGGAACGGTTTAAGAGGCCAAATGCTGAAAAAGTTGTGATCACTAAGCCAGTCAACCACACCAAATGTAAGGCTTAATATTCTTGAAGTCCTTAATGCTTTCTTGTATCTTAATGGATTTTGGAACTGCTGCCACATGTGCATTTCTCTTGATACCCAGTTCTTTTTTTCTTTTAATGGTTCCATTGAATGCCCGAAATGACAATAATCTTGTTATGCATCCCTAGTAAATAACTCGATTATCTCTGTTCTTTTTGAAAATATTCCTTTTCTTGTTCCTTAGTGTTTGGTGATAGGTTAGTGGCACTCGGTCAAGGAAAAATTGTTGGGCGTGCGAAAAAAGTGCCACATTGGAAATTAATCAGGAAAAAAAGTTACATATGAAGTTTAGGGACATTGTAAAGACTTTTGGGAAAAACCATGCAGGTTTTGGCCCAAAATTTCCCCATATAAATAGTATCTATGGGCTGTCCTAGCCCAACACTCCTCCACACCCCTTTTTCTTTTCCCTTATCATTGACTCTGCTAAGACCTATAATTAAGAAAAACATGTCATCTAGCTTTCTGCGATAACTAGGAAAAACTTGTTTAGAGTAATGTTTTACAGATTAGCATGTGGTAAAGGGAACCTTATTAGAAAATGGAATTGTTTACGTTGTTTGTGTGATTGTGTGCTAGTTTAATTCACTTGAAGTATGTTGGCAAATGCGTAAAAACACAGAATGTTAGGATAATTGATTTGGAATGGTGTCAAATACTGCTTTTGAGATACCAAAAGCCACAACCTGGTGGTATATGGAATATATGCTCCTTTGTCTTTTTTACATGGTGTAAAACCAAAGGACTTGGCAGTCAAAAGCATGTTAAAGCATTATCCATAGAGCATAATAGAAAAGTTGATGCTTTTGTTTTGATTGCAGCTTCCACTCGACAAGTTGTACCAAATGTCATTGTTCTCGAGAGTTCATTACATTATCTGATCATATGATGCAAAGCTAAATGACTGGATGGTTCTGATTCCTGTCGGGATCTTTTCGTTTTTCGGGATAGTTCTGACCTCTCTAGGAAGTGCTAAAAGAAGGCATTTGTTATACAAGATATTCCAGCTTCAAGAAAATAACTGAATTTGCTTATATGAATTTGAACTGATATGTAACGCTCAGTTTAGCAAAAGAAAAAAAACAAATCTCCTGTCTTTTTTATGGCTAAAATCCCCTTCTCTATTTGTTGACTTGAGAATATTCATGTTTCAGCTTTTTAGCTAGCTACTCAGGGAGCTTAAATAGACAGAGGAGATGATGAATTCATATTAAGTTTATGATGAGATTTAAGTGAAATTTGTGTAAACAGTGAAGCTATTTTCTTCCACTGGTTGGCCTACGAATCTGGTTTCGAGCCTTCCAGTGATTGCTTTAATATAAGATTTTACGTTGTTTTCATTTTATCAAATTTATTGCACAAAGGTTTTGGATTGACTAATCATTTTTCTAGTAGGAAAAATTTTAGGACTCTATAAATAGAGTAATGTTTTTTTCTAACTTAATCAGCATTCACAATGTATTGAGAGTTTTGGTTAAGGGGAGAATTTATGGGTTACAAGCTTGATATGTTATCACTTGTGTGAACCTCCCATGTATTCCGAGTGAATTGGTTGAGTTTGTTTCCCTCTGTATTTTGTACTCTCATATTTATAGTGAATTGCTCATCTCCTTTGTGGACGTAGATCGATTGACCGAACTACGTTAAATCTTTGTGTCTTTTGGTATATTTCTCGTGGTCTTCAAAATTTGCTTTGCTAGCTTCCACATTTACACCTACTTATTTACGGTTCTAACAATAACTTTTTCCTAGTTGATTTACAAGTAGAGATTATCAGGTAAAAAAAGTAATTTTAGAAATGGCTCCCACTAGTCATTTTTCGGCTTATCTTTGGAAAATAACTACTGTGATGGAGTTTCAAATTACCACAATAAAGTTGCTGGATGAATCCTTATTCTTGCAGATAAATTGGAACTTGAATGATAATTTGAATATATGTATTCTCTTCAGATCATCAAAATACGATTCTGTCTTTGTTTCTCACTTTGAAGTCACTAATAAGGTTCCCATGGCCTACAGTTGACCCCAAAACTAAAAAAAAAGGAATACATAAATATCTAATTATTGGACCACTTTGGAACTCATCATATCTTATATTGAAAAAGCATCATTATACCGACAGTTAAATAGTCTTTTTAGTATAATTTTTTTTGATAATTGTAAGTTATACTTTTATATATTACCTAAAATTTTATTTTAACAATACTAAAAGTTGATGCACTATAATGATTTACGTTATGCCTTGAGACCTGGGATTCTTCTTTTTGATAAATAATTTCTATTCCAATTATAACAAGTTTCATCTCGATACTTGTGGGGATAAAAAAAGATATTCTATTAACCTACTTTGTGTTTTTACAACCTTTTCCAACTCAAAGGTTTTAGGTTGCCCTACATAGAAGAAAGGTCTTAAAGAATCATGGAGCAAAATTCAAGAAAATATTTCAAACTCTCCATCCCAAAAATTGAATTTCTGTGGTAACTCTGTCTCAATTTTTTGATTCTTTTAATGTATACTAAAGTTTTTCAAATAAGATTAAACATTATTAGGCCCGATAAAATAGTACGTATATACAAAATACAACAACAATATAATAATATGGAGGAATGATATTTTTATTTATTGAATGGAAAGATATACCAAAACCGAAATAGTCACAAAATGAAATTAAATAAGATCTTTTATGCACGAATTTAGGATCAAGGAACATTGGAGGGCAATAATTAGGGGCATTAATTGATAAATAAATAAAAAGGCAAAGCCACACCCACTGAACGAAAATGAAAGGAAGACATAAAAGTACTTTACAACAATTTTCCAATTACTAACACATCACAATAAACAAATGAAGAGTTACATAAAGGGTCATTATTTCTGGGCACACTTGTTTATCTTTTATGGACAATTTCTTTAGTAAAAAAGAAAATTAAACAGTATAATGTACCACCATGAACTTCTTTTAATTTTTTAAATAGCTGACTTCAACTTATTTGAAATTGAACCTTAATTGTTGTTATATAATAAATAAGGTAATCCTGAATTTAAAGTTTAATAGGATAATAAGAATGTGAAATTAGGTCTTAGGCCTAACTCACACTCCAAAAACTAGCTCAAAGAAAGGAGAATTGCCAAGCCTTATAAGGTGTTCATTCTTTAACACCCCACCTCACGCCCAGTGCTTAGCATTTAGTGCGTGTGCAATTTTGATTTTCGGGGGCCCAACATCCGGTGAGACGGGCCCTGCTCTGATATCATGTTAAATTAGGTTTTAAGCTTAACTCATACCCCAAAAGCTAGCTCAAAAGGAGGAGGATTGTCCAAGCCTGTTGGATTTTTGTCATTCTTTAACATCCCACCTCATGCCCAGTGCTTAGCATCTGGTGCATGGACAATTTTGATTTTGGGTATGAGACAGACCTTGCTCTGATAGCATGTGAAATTAGGTCTTAGACCTAAATCACACCCTAAAAATTAACTCAAAGGGAGAATGATTGCTCAAACCTTACGAAGATTAATTCTTGCTTTAGTTGTCATTGTCCCATATCCACCTAACCAACTTGTTATAATATACCCCCATCCCCATAAAACCCACAACACAAGTCTCTCTATTTATATATATATATGTACATTACTTGCTTTCTCCCAAAGATAAGTGAAAATTCGATCGATTAGAATTTATAATATGGGTGTTCTTGATTATTTATCGATTTTTTGCACCGTTACTAGTACAAGACGACGTAGCAAAAGAAGACCATTGCAGGTACGTTAATCTTAATTACTCTCTTTTCATTTTATAACCTTTATTTTATTTTATTTTTGTGTGTTATTGATGAAATTGTTGTTTTTTTTTAAAAAAAATAAAATTGTTAGACAGTGGAGATAAAAGTGAAGATGGACTGTGATGGATGTGAAAGAAGAGTCAAGAACGCAGTTAGACGCATGAAAGGTTCTTACATAAAAAAAAAAATTTGTTATAGTAATTTATTCTAAATTGATCGTGGTACGTTATAATAAACGTAATTATTGTGATTTAATTTCAGGTGTGAAAACAGTGGAAGTGATTAGAAAACAACACAGGGTGATAGTGAGTGGTTATGTTGATCCACAGAGAGTGTTGAATAGAATAAAAAGTACTGGAAAAAGAGCAGAAATGTGGCCATATGTTCCATATAATTTGGTGTCTTATCCATATGTAGCTCAAGCATATGACAAAAAGGCACCTTCTGGTTTTGTTAAAAATGTGCCACAAGCACTGATTACACCTAATGCTACTGAAGAAAGGATTACTCATCTTTTTAGTGATGATAATCCAAATGCTTGTTCTATTATGTGATACCAACTTCAAAATTTTATTTTTTTCTCCTCCGAGATTATGTTTTTTTCTTCTTCTTGGAGATTTTAGTAAAAGAAAATTAGTATTGTTGTAATTAAGATCTGGCTAAGGTAGAATTAATTGCTTTAAATATGGAATATTATGTTGTTTTTTTTCTTTTTGTACTTTGCTTGAGAATTTGAAGAAGCAAATATCTATTATTGTATACCATCTTTTTGTTTCTAAATTTTGCTAAATAATAACAATAATAACTTTATATGAGATGAATATTTTTTATTTTATATTGTTATTAACAAATTATTTGTAGATTGATCAACTTTGCTACTTTTTCTTGTTCATATTAATTAGCTCTTCTGTAAAGAAATTCTAAATCTTTAAATTTGTTCAAAGTCGATATAAATTGTAGGGGTAAAATGGAAAAAAATAAATAATTCTATCCGGATTTAATAAGTGATCAAATGAAACGAGATAAATATCTAATTTGACACGGAAGTAGGAATACTTTTAAATTTATAAGGTTTTAAAGCGGCATTTTATTTAATATAATGTTGGAGGTATTTGCGTGATTTCTTCGTCGTATATGTCCCTAAAATTATGGAACTTCCAATTTAGTCTCTTGGAATTTAGCAGTCACGCTCATGAGCATAATTAGGGTCTTGTACAATTAATTTTACGTCATGAAGTTATCATATTTTTCCTTCTTTAAAATATATTTTTTAAAATGTTCAAAAAAAAAATTTTAAAAATCGTTGTCTAGGTAGCGATTTGAATTTTTTTTAAAAAAAATACATTTTGTAAAATCGCTGCACTAGCAGTGATTTTGCTTTTTCTGGTGGAGGAAATCACTGTTGTTCCAGCGATTCTGCCGTTGGTTAATATAAAATTTTATATACCGTTTTGATATTTTTGTCAATATTTTATACTCTTTAGATTCCAAACTCGTGAAAATATAGCTATAATATAAACGAATAGAAGGAAAGATATAAATATTAAAATAAAGAGAGATCGTGATTTTTTTATTCTAGTGTTTTCACATAAAATTGTTATATACTCTCAAATATGCCCAATGCATATTAGCTAGAATCCTATTCTTTCCACTGATTATGGAATTTATGTTCCTTTTTAAGTTCATAAAGATTACAATAAGGACCAGAAGAAGAAGTAGGCTTTGATTACCAACAGCCCTTTTCAAATTCACTGCCTTTTTCACTCTGCTTATAATAATTATATGATCACCAAATCATTACTTTATTTTTATTTGACAATAATCATCACTTAAATTCACTTATTGCTTACAATCCTTTTTGTAGAAAAAAGCGTTACCTTGATATTGTTTCGTTTGTGCTACCTTACTATATCTCAATTATGATGATACCCTAAACTATATATCTCAACAATTATGATATCCAGACTATATATTAACTATTTTAATTGTGGTACATATCTTTTCCTTAATTTAATTGCTTCGATAATACAGACTATATGATATTACTTCATACTAGTTGTCGTGGTGAAAATATGATAAATATTAACATAGAACTATTGAATGTGAAAGAAAAAAAATACTATTGTATTAAAATTGTTCAAATTTCTAAAACCACATACAATTAATCTTATTTTTCCTCTAATTAGATGTCTCGAGTTTTATAAAAAAATCTTTTAATAGACAATATTTTTTTTTAAAATGCCCTAAGCAGCGCGAATTTAGAATAGTGAACTAACTTGAGGGTACCGAACACGAATCCAGAAATAACAAGGAAACAAAAAAACTTATCAAGATGGTAAACTCCTTTTGATGTATCCTGAATTTCTGGCTTTTACCATGACAAAAGTGATTAATACAATCACACTCATTAAGAATTTTATTTTGGATGTATATAAAAAGTAAATTAGAGCTGATGATTAAGATATGATTTATCTTATCCTAATAAATCCTGGTTAGTAGATTGTACCTGTTGCCACTATATTGGAATATAATAAACAAGTACCAATATAATTATCTGTTATTAAATTTTCCTCTTTCAATCTGTTGTAGGACAGTTTAAAGTCCTTAATTAAAAAGTCTTTCTCACCAATTTTTCTCTTTTTAAAAGTTGAGCAGTGACAACAAATTAAGGATGGGGTATTAATTATTATTTTTTAAATCGAAAAAGAAAGAAAGTAAAGTTTTAAAATAATTATTATCTTAAATCGAAAAGAAAGAAAGTAAAATTTTAAAATTAGGTACTCCATCATTACATGGTCAAGTTTTCAACAAAGCCAAGCCTATAACACCGACCAATTTTATTTTATTAAAAGAAAGATGGAAAAATTTTTCCCACTAATTATTTATTTATGAGTTTTAATCCGGACAACAAAGAAAATGACAATGTTGCTTTAGAAATTTGAGTGTATAAAACAAAAATTAAACACTTTAATGTTAATTCCGCCGTTTATATCAGTTAATGACAATTACCTTAACCATGATTTGTGTGTCTTGGAGGGAAAAAGCCGCATAAATACTTAAAAATAAGGCATTATTGAAACATAAACATAGAAAAAGACCTTTTTAAATCACTGATCCACAAGACTTGATCATGCTTTTCTTTCTTTTTCAATTAAAATACAAGAAAGAATAAAGAAGAAGCAATTTTTTAAATCAATTTATCGATTTTTTTTAAAAAATTAATAAAAAGTTGAAATGGAATTTGAAAGACTAATCTGATTCTAATAATAAGTTACCCTATGCTCTAATCAACTAACTGTAAAGGTTTTCTTTTTCTTTCTTTTTTAGCAATATCAATCATCATGAAAGCTATGAGCAGTGTTACATAATAATTTCCTAGTATATGATTAGAACTTTAGGAACATTTCTTTTATGAAAATATCAAATTAAAGTGTTAGGAGTCTACATGTTAAGAGGGACCTAAGAGATTTTTATTTTTGAACAATTGAAGGGGGACATGCATGTTTTGATTTGGCTATATACTGTCTGAAGTTGCCTTTGCCAGCATATTTTTCTTATAAAGCACCTCATAAAATTCAACAAAGATCATAAAATACAAACATAACATGTTACAGTGTCACTTACAGATACTAATTAATTAAAAAAGCATGTTGGATGAAAACTTTGAACAATGTGAATGACAATGATTGACCTCCCAAATATGGTCCATCATATTGATTTACAAGAATGTCCTTACCCTATGGACAAAACTTCAAAGTTTTACTTTTGACCTTGAAGGTTGAATCGGGACAAGTGAGGGTCAAAAGTTTGAGATCACCGATTTCCAATAACCGGTTATGGGCAGTAATTTCTTACATTTCTAACATGAGCTTGAGGCCCAAAATTGACAAAATAATCTTTTTCTGAAGATGGCTCATGACTATCTGGACCCAAATTGTAATACTCAGCAAAAATGATCCAACCATGGGCCTTATGAAAATTTGTTGGGCCTATATGAAAGACTGAACAAGTATGGCACTATGGGCTATGGCTCAAATATTTGTCCTGATTTTTTAACAACTTTTCATGAGTTTTTAGTGTTGTTTATGCAGTGACAAAATTTTAATACTACCACCTATTCTTCAGAATTCAGATTATGATATGAGATTCTTCTGGCTATAGGATCAAATCAGGTAAATGTACTACTCCCACACACAGTCATGCTACTAACAAAAGAATCTGACACTACTACTTGAAAGTTGCCTCTATGTGGAAAAAATGATATATACTTTGCCTTACTCCCTTTATCTGAACTGTCAATCCTCATTTTTCTGAACTACTCAAATGGTCAAATCACACTTTTCTTACACCCTTCAACACCCCACCCCCCTAAACCACCTATCTAAAGAACACAAAAACACTCAACACACTGACATTTCTGAGTGTCTGTTGTGTTTTGTACTGAGATGAAAGGACTAGCTAAGTAGTGTGCCTCATGTTGTTGCTGCAGCTGTTTCTGAGTCATGTATTTGGTGCTCTGCATTTCTCTTTCCTAGTGCTACTGTGGCTGATAGTTAGCCATTTGTAGGGTGATCCTTTTGAGGTAAGTTATTACTAAGACTTAAAATAGAAACAACAAGTTTCAACTTCATTTGACCAAAGAGAACAAACTAAACACTGCTACTTACCTGAAAAATGTCTGCTACTGCCCATGACTTTGAGCTTGTGAGAATTCAGGTCATTCACTTAGTTCTCATCAGTTTTCTCATTTTCCACTAAATTATTTTTCTCTTTAGCCTTCTTTAACTACTGCTTTGTATTTTTTTGTTTACAGACTTGTGTTCTTAAAGTTCAGATCAACTGTCATGGATGCATGCAGAAGGTGAAGAAACTACTTAGAAGAATTGAAGGTACTCTCATTTTTCACTTACTATAAGTTTACACTAGTAGCATCTACCACCTTTTCTCCAACATGCACACCAGGAAAAATTAAAAGAGAGAGTGGGCAAAAATTATTGCTTTGGCAGATCTTAACAAAAGAATAGAGGAAGTTCATACTTCAGAATAAAGATTTATTTACATTATGGACAAAACATTTGGTTTCAGGGGTTTATCAAGTGAAAATGGATGTTGATGAACAAGTGGTCATAGTATCTGGGAATGTGGACTCAGCAACACTGATCAAGAAGCTAAACAAATCTGGAAAACATGCAGAGCTTTTATCAGAAAATCCAATGGAAAACCAAGAAACAGAACTTCTCTACAACTGGTTGAATGATGACTTTCACCAAAACCAGGGAGGTCTGAACTGGTGCAACAATGAGAAGACTCAAAACAGAGAACTCCTTAACTGGATCAATAATACCAAGCATCAAAACCAAATGCACAGCTTGTACAATTCTCTTGGAGCCTCCAAGAGACGGCCTATGTGTGCCCCTATTGAACGAGGCTTCGATCATTGGGGCAACAAACAGTTTTTGGACCAGAGTATTGGAATTGACTCTCTCTCAGGTGAGGCAAATAAGAACCTTTTTGCACTAGGAAACATGGATTATCCATATAATGTTCAAGAAGAAAGCATCATTAACAATTCAGATTTCGGGAGAACTTCTGCATTTGGAAATCTCCAAAGTCTACAAGGTAGAAGAAATTCAATGGTTGATTTTGAAGGTCTCCAAGACAGTAATCCTAGTTTTGCTCCAAACCAAGGTCTCAGAAGTATTAATTCCTATTTTGCTAATTTGGGAAGTGAAGAATCAGGACTACAGAACTTACACACTGCTCAAGGGGCATATGGATATAAACCAAGGCCATTCAGTGAGATGAATGACATGCAGGCTTTCCATTACAAATATCCAGCTTCAACAATGAACTCTTTTTTTCATTACCCTCCAACAATGATGAACTCTCACAGGCAGAATAGCCATGACAATGGCACTGGCAATATCATCAATGATAATTACACATATCAACCAGGAAGGATTCTCTATCAGACACCCTATGGTGTCTTCCCACCCAACATCAGTCATTCTTGGAACATGAATAACTATAACAATTGAGAGACTTACTATCCGTACCTATATATAGAGAGATCAGATTTCAGTTTTCACATATAAACAACTATCGTTTATTTTGTCCTTTTTTGTTTCAACTTTGTTAACACTATCCTAGTATTATAAACTATCGCAATAATCTGATAGGCAAAAAGCTTTATTTGCCAAGCTACTACAAGTCCACCTTCTATGCATTCAAATGTTGTAGTGATACTCCCTAATTTCAGACATAGGCAAAACCCAGTGGAAGGTTACTGTTTAATTAGATGCTTTGCAATATAGATAAATCACAGTTTCAGTAAACAAGCATTAATGTGAAACTTTAAAAGAAGGCATAGAGCAATAAACTTATCTAAAAGTGTTAGCTATGAAATCTGAGTTCCCATTCAGCAGGAAGAATAAGTAATCTAAGTAAATGGTATACCTAAAACAATCATGAATAATTTAGGGAAAGCAGTAAGGAATTTTTATCAACAGCTGCCACATCTTCTTGAAATGAATTATCTCTCATCCAATAGTTAAAGAAACTTGGAATCAACCACTAAGAAATAAATCTATTGGTACAATGTTTAAATGCAAAAAAGAAAGGTGTCGCCATGAAGCTATCGCTTCCGTGCTTTCCTACGCCTAGATTCTGTTTTCTGCCATTTCTTTCTACGTACCAATTTGCTCTTTGGTTTCAATTTTATTTCAGGAGAGAACTCAAAGTTTGGATCTCTCATACGAGCTTGTATGTCTTTGAAGAACTGCATATTCAATTTCTTAGGTCCTCCCTGTCTCAATTCAGCATATTCTGGTCCCGAAATGATGTTCTCAAAAGCACCAATCAGAATGTCCAAATCACTCATAACCTCCCAAACATTGATGTAACGCCCATCAGGTCCCTTTTTCAATTTCTTAAGGGCATTTTCCACTGCAATTTTTCTAGCTTGCTTTCCCGGAGATAACTCTTCAGGTTCCTGCTCAGATTTCAAGGCTTCAGAGAGTGTTCTATATTTAGGTTTTTCCTCAAACTCAAACAGTTTATCAATGTAACTATCACTCTTTTTGTTTGGGTATGGTTCAGTCGGAATATCATCATCATCATCTCCTTCACTACCAGTCCATAATGTCTTCTCATCATCACTATCAGACCACATACTTCTCAGTTCATCACTATCATCTGCATCAATAGGACCATCTTGCGCTTTTGCTCGTTGTTTGGCTTTCCTAATCTCTTTTCTGAGACGGCTATGACTATCACCTTTATCGGAGTCACTTTCATCTTCACTTGCTGTCCATAGACGGTTCTCTTCATCATCCATTTGTTTCGCCCAGGCTTTCTTAAACTCATCTGGTTTAGGTATACCACCACCAAATAGATCATAGTTGGAACGTCTGTTACGTGCATATGATCTCAACACTGCATCAATTATAGAACCTCTTGAATTTTGTTTGCAAGTTAATATACTTGCAAGAAGAAGAAAAGCCAAAATGCTATGTGCAGAAAGAACTCCGTATTACAGTATTAAACTAGAAGCCTTGACTTGTAGCCTATATCAAGAAGTTATATGCATATCAAGTCCAGGGACTAAATTTTTAAAAAAAAAACATTGTGGCCACTTCAAGGAAGGATGAATTTTTAAAACTGGATGAAATTTCAAGAAAAAATGAGGCCAAATCATGTAGCACAAGCACTAAAATATTCTATCGATGTACAACAAACCTACAGACTAAACTTTAACAAAAATCTCCCAATTCAAAGAACAGAAGAAACAATTTCAAGAAACAACCAGACAACCAACTGAAAAGCACTAACGAAAACAGAAGTGTTCAAGTATTGGGCAGACGCATAAAAGTAACTAAATTTTAAGGCGAGCTGAAATTTATCAACAGGTGAAGTATGGATTGCCTAAAAGATAACAATGGCGGAAACACAGCCCTATGATTCTTAGATAACTATAGAAACGTTAGAATTTAAGGGTCCTTTTTGAACTGAACATGCGATTAGCATCAGCAAATCTTAATTGATAGAGTATCGGCAAAATCCCGTCACAAGAAAGGCATGCGAATTTGTTTCAGGAAAATTATCTTGAAAGCAGAGGTGTGATAAGACTTCTTCATGACTATTCAATTGAGATATGCCAATACATACCTGTTGATAAATTGCAGAGGTGAGCTACCTTTTAATTTTCAATCGTAATAATTTCTCCTTTAATGGTATTAACAAAGAAGTTTGAGGACAGGAAAATTATCTTGGTTTCCTAACACATACATGTAGCAGACTCATTGAAAGAAAAAAAGTACAGAAGAATTCTGAAAGGCAAAACATAAATTCTTGTCCAGAAACATGGTTCAACAGCAGAGGCACGAGTAGTAGTACTTGAGAAGTAAAATATTGAGGTAGAAACATAGATGTGTTGTAAAAATATTCACTAGGCGACTTGATGCTAGGTTAAAACTGATTCACTTGATAGGAGATTATACACGCTGCATAAGAGAGCAGAAACTTAAGAAAGAAGTCCATCAATAAATTAGGCTTAAAACAGTTATTCCTACAACTAACCAACCCTTAATTTGGAATCTGTCCTTGGACTGCCTTGGAGCAGTCGAGGATTTTTAATATTTCAATGAGAACTCCCACTAATAGACTGTCCACGTGAAAAGAAGCCTCATTTCCATCACTTATAATACTCTTGAATGTCCAAACCGGTGCCTTACAATTTACAAACACCAGCAATATGTAACAGGGAGGGAAAATCAGCTTTGAGCTCTATCACTTTTACCAATTAGGTTGACAGGCGTGCAGAAAACTAACCTTTTAATTGGAGCACAGGATAAAGATAACCACGAGGTACAGTGTGTGGATGAGACTGGAATGTGCTGGGTAAGATTGGTGGTTGTAATTTGACTCCAGTAATTGATCTACACATGCAGGCAACCGTACAGAGACGAGAAAACCTTCGAGCCATTTCCCCGATTTGTGCAGAGAAAAAGACATACAACTCAACCCCAACTCCGCATCAGCTTCTTTAAAGGAGAAATAACTACAATTGGAAATCAAAATACTCATTATTATTTGGGGAAAAAAAAGGAAAATTATTACATAGTTGATAGTACTTGTCCTCAAACCTCTATGCTAGTAACCATTATGTCCACTATTGGACTCAGGATTTAAGCTATCAGAACATATAAACTCTTTGTTTCAAGAACTACATGGGCACCCACCACTAACACTCATAGACATCTCACCACAAGGTTGACACTTGACTATATGCAATTAAAATGAAAAGCTTGTCTACCCTGACAGAGTGTTCAACATCAACGTAAAGGTACTCATTACTGAGATTAAACAACTTAAGAGTAAATAAACTAAATTAATCTTCAAGCTTTGAGATTCTCAATGAACTTGAAAAAGTTATCCTTTCAAGGGTCTTGAACACATCCTCTGTACTAATTGTTTACTCTTAAACTCCTTGACTATATCATTTCCACAGCAACTACCTAACAAAAAAGTTTTAAAACATCTGATTTTTTTTTGGAAAGACAACTAGTAATTAGTTTTGTTTCTGAAATAATTTTTTTTAAAACCGAATGAAAAATGTAATGTTTGCTCACGTTCAACAATCAGTTAATTTATTCACTTCAAAAAGCTAATCTATGCAATGAATTACTTAGGTTTATATTTGGATTTCATCATATAATCTTCTTCATTTTTTTATTTCATCGTATAATCAGCAAAAGCAACAAGACCCGACAAAAATGAACGTTCATCTGTGCAGCGACAATTATTGAGCAAACAAAGTAGGGAAACCTGAACGGAAGCTCCGATGGACCATATAATCCTTGTTTCGCCGGAAAAAGAACTAAACGGCGGACGGGCTGTATGAGAATGACTAGAAGTATAAGGGAAACAAAAATAAGCAAATTCTCCAATGAAAGAAACCCAAATCCCGCTCTCAACATATATACTCTACCGCTACCAGTTTTACTCGTTTATATCTCCTTTGATTGACTTAAAAAAAATTAAATAAAAAATAAATAATTTTAAAATAAAAGATAAATAACTCTGAAGTAAAAAAAGAAAAAGAAAATAGATGACTTCTCTATACCCCATTTGAATTGATTTGAAAAAAAAAATAGTTTTAAATAAAATATATGACCTTTAAGTCAAGAAATAAAAAATAAGAGAGATTGACTTTTTATTTTTATCTTATTTTAATTTATTTTTAACCTTATTAAATATTTCTTAATTTAATTTGAATTATTTTTTTACTTAATTAAAGTTATTATTTTATTTGTCAAACACTTTTATTTTTACTTAATTAAAGTAATTTTATATACTTAAATTAAAACACCATTATAAATCCCAAAAATTGAGACAAAAGAGTATGCTTCTACTTTTGGATGCACAAACTTTACAGAATATAATATTTTTAGATAATGCTAAATGGTCAAAAATTTTAAAAGTTTATGATGTTATTTTTTTTAGAATAAACTAATTTTTTTAATTAAAAGATATTAAAGTTAAAAGAATAAAAATGTTAAAAAAATAAAATAACATAGTGTAAAATATATATATTTTACCATTTTAGCCAAATTTTCTGGCCGAAAGATTTTTTCCATAATATTTTTCTTTTAAAGAATTAAGATATATCACTTTGATAAATCTATTTAAAAAAAAAAAACGACGAGCAAAATTCGAATGTTATACCAGTAAAGACGAGAGACGAGCAAACTCACTGCTCCCCAATTGAAGATTGAATGGAACATATATATATAGCTCAGAAATGCTAGACATGAAAGATGAGTTATGGGATTTAGCAGCTTAGGCAATTCCCCAAACAGAGTTCTAATACTCATCATATGTTCATCTTGGACATGTGAAAAACGAGTAGTTGCCCTTTCCAGTTGTCATACTTGTATAAAGATTATAGTTACATGATTCTCTAATGATAAGTTTACACAAGGCAAAAGTCATGTCCTTCAATGATCAGCATAAGAGTTACTTTGACATGATGTAGCATAGGACTTCTATAAGCAACAAAAAACCACTTTCTGATGCAACGTTTGACTTCATATATGCATGCACCATTCATATTAATTAGCCTATCAGATCAGAATCTTTCAAGAGCAACTCTCTGAAATCATGATATATCAGTATTGACAAACAGCTGATTACATTTGGATCAAGTCTCATATTATTCATAGTGCTTGTCTTTCAGTGATCAGGATCGTCTAGAATCTCCACCACTGGAGCAAACTGCAGAAGTCGAAAGACCTAATGAGAAGGAAGAAGCCAAAAATAAAAAGAAGAAAAAATAGTGAACCGGCATCTGATTTTCCAAACCTCATCGTCTTCTTTAAGATGCATGCCATCAACAGAACTATCCAGCTTGAAGTCCCATCCAAGAGTCTGCTCAAGCAGTTCTCTCAGTTTTCTAGTCTATCATTCAACAAAGAAGAAAAACCCACCAATTAGTAATGTGTTCAAGATAGTGAATTGAAAGAAAAGCTCATTTACTCGCATTTCAAGCAATTGTTCAGTGAATCTGGAGTTGCACGTCTAGAGGAACAGAAGCTGGATTATACTTGCCATGAATAGTTACTCAAGCAGATTATGAAAAAAAACAATGTCAAAACAGTACCATGAATGCTTAAAGAATAGAAGTGCGTAAGAGATTTTTATAGAATACTTAAAATAAATGCACATGGACTTTGCATATATTTTCATTCTATATACTACGTACTACGTAGGAATAAATACAACAATCTAAACGAGAAAGGACAAACTAAATGTTGATTATCCTTCCTAGTGATGAAAAACTGAGGTATGAAGGCTGACATCCCGTTTGCCCATTTGACAAAGAAGTATATCCACTTAAGATAGTAGACTAAATTCACTAGTTGATTCCACTGGAAACATGGTCAAAACAGGACAGATATATACTCTCATTTGAGTTGAGAGTAATCTTTTGCAGAAAGACTATTGCAGGAAACTATGATGCGGCAGTTCATTATAAGGAATGCTTCTGACTTTTCACTATGGCGTTTGTGTTACGAAAATACATCCTAAATTAATTTCAAAGGAATCAAACCGTCTGGAGGCATACCCAAGTCAGGAGGTCTCCATCAACCATGGGGGCATCAAGCACCAATGAGAAGAAATCCTGCAACCAATTGTAAAGATGGCTCAATAAGATACATCCCATCTTAATCAAGAAATATACTATCACAAGTAAAACCCTCCATAGCCATATGTTTTGGTAGTGTGAGTGCTTGACAAGTCATAGTGAAACGCTTACAAGCTAACAATGGTATGGCAGCAGTCAATAAAGCGGAAATTAAAACCCTGAGAGACCTAGGGTTCAAATATCATCAGAGGCAAAAAATGATAGGCGACTTTTCCCATGTTTCCAAGCCTTGGTGGAAGCCTGTGCTGCTTAGAGGTAACAGGTCCCTTATGGCATAGTAGAGATGCACAAGCAAGCATGGACATCACATTCCCCGTTAAATACAACATTTCTAAGATGTGTCGAAGAGTTTTTACATCTAGGGAGCATGTCAGATTCGAAACAAACCAGGGAGTTATATTAAGACCGTTTACCTACACTCAAGTAGCACACACTGCTATGTGAACTGGATTTTACCTTACAAAGGTGGCGCAGGAAGTTATCAGCAGACAACAAAGATTCGTCCAACGAGGCCGTTGCACCTTTCTCTGCCCTGCTAGTATCCTTGCTATCCTTTTGAAATCCAATTTTCAACTGATAATATATTGCTTTGATGAACTGATGATAAATACATACAGATTGCAAGAGTCAGCATGTATGAATCTAAAAGATGAAAAAGATCAACATAAATTCAAGGAATCTATTTCATACTGGAATAAATAAAATATGGAGTAACATGAAAAAGTAATAGTGTCTACACCACCAAGTGCATTCTCAATCCACACGTGTCATTCATCTCATGAAAGGAACAGTGATAGTGAGAGATGAATTATACACTGAATATTCTTCAACCCAACTACTAGAAAAGCAGGGTACAATAACTCGCCCATTAAATGCAGCACCACATCTTTGATGCTATATACAAAGTTCAACACGATGGAACCACACGTTCACTGTGGTCTTTTACCCAACTTCACACCAAGAAGCATAGTACCATACCATTGGCCACACTCATTGTCACGACCTAATTTCTCGAGCCATGAAGGCACCTACTATAACCCATCAGTAGGTAAGCCAAACCACAACCCAGAACAACACGTAATGGGTGTGAGGGTAGAAACTAAACACGACTAAGCAAAATTACTATAACAACATAAATACAATTAAGGATCCCTCCCAAAGCCTGGAAGTCACTAATACAGAGCTACCAACAAAACGAGTACAAGTCCCAACAGTGGACCACCGAAACTAGACTGTCTCGAAAAGTAAAAGACAAGTCTTTATATAAACAGACGGAGACTGAAATAGTACAAAACGCTGTGTGCTCACCTCTGTCTCCAGACTAGAAATGCTCCAAACTCGATCAACGCTGACTACTGGTGCTCGGACCTGCATCACGAACATAGATGCAGAGCGTAGCATGAGTACCAAATAACAGGTACCCAGTAGGCATCATAGGCCGACTGAACTAGAAAAGTAAAGCACTATGAAAAGACGAAATCACAAAACTAGAGGTCAAGAACAGAAGACTAAATAACACAATAATGCACACGAGTGTATAAAGATCTAACTAAATTAATATAAATAAGCTAACTGCACCTAACTGGACCCACCATAAGCCCAGAAGGTACACTCGTGCACAAGTTTAAATAAAAACCCGAACGGACCCCCATAAGCCCGACGAGTACACAAAGTAACTATAACTTAAGGAGAATAAAACTCGAGGCCAAAGAACACCGAACCAAAAGGTAGAATCTGACGGTACGGAGGTCGGGCCTTGAACCGGACGCTCACTAGAATTACACAAGTAGCCAATTGCAAAATATAAGTAACTAAGGCCGGACCTCTAATCGGATGCTCTACATAAGTATGTGGATGTTCGAGGCCGGACCTTAAATCCGGATACCCGACAAAGATGTCGATATAGCTGCTGAAAGAGTCTTTATCTATCCATAATCATATAAACCCGTGGAACACCATCCAGACTTAGCTAATCAATGTAAGTCCTTAAAGCTGAATCGAACTCAACTTTGAATCACGGAGCGGAAATCATTGTCACTGACGTAACTCGAGAAGCCGTAACATCGAAGAAATAAGAGTAACTATCGCTAGAGCAAGCTCATCGTCTTTCTAAATACCCAACTATCAGACTCAAGTCTGCTACATCAGTCTACAAGGATTTAAGCCGGCCGAGCGACGTCGGGGCTAAACTAAATCCTACCGTCTTTGAATCATGCATTTCTAAGGAAAACCCTAGTCAAACCTAAACTAAGGCCCATCATACTTCTGACAACCAGTATTCAAACATACAAGTAATTCATATAGCAAAGAAGGTCAATTAATAACAATAAACATGCTCACAGTTACCCGATAATTCTCAGAAAAAGGGCGAAAATATGATTTTTAACACCTATGCATGATCCAATAACTACCCAACCCAAATCCCAACTAATCAACATGCATTCACATGTTCGAGTTCAATCTAAGAAGAGAAACCATAGCCTACATGAACGTAGATCACGCGCGCTCCAAAATTCACTCCTCGGATCTTTTACTTTCTAAAAGGCCTCGAAACGTTGATACACTATCAGAAATAGAGTCACAACGTTATTACAGTCATTTAAACACTAAAATCGCAAGAAACGGAGACGGGTCAATTTCGCGGTCAAAATGGAAAAAGTGGGATCCGCGTTGAGAAATCCCGAATTAACCCCAAATAAAAGTCCTAAATAACTCTCGTAACTTGTATACCAGAATGGAACACAATTCAGGACTCAAGACAGTCCCAACATGAACATGCAACAAAAAAACCCAAATTCTAAGCTAAAAATCAGCAACTATGGCAGCAGCTACTTACAAGATTTTACTAAAAATGAAGCTCCAACAGCCAAAACCAACCACACCACGACGATCCTCACGAAAAACCCCACAATATAGGCTCTTGAATCACTAGATTCGGACCTAAAATGGCCAAGAAATCACCTTCTAAAATTTCCCAAAACTTGTGCTCGAAAATGAGCTATGACAGCAGTTAAAACCCTAAATTTACCTCAAATCGGGTCCCCAAATCAGATTCCAAGCTCACCAATGCGTTGCCCTCGAAAAATCTCACAACTTAACCTTTTGAATCGCCCAATTTGGAGTTGTATAGCTCAAGATATCAAGATTTCAAAGTAAGACACAAAGCTGAAAGTTGGGTTATTATAAGGACGAATCTGGTCGTTAAAACCCAATTTCTGGTCGTTAAAAGGGCTGCACCAGATTCAGCTTTGCCTATTTTTTTTAAAGTCTCCGACGGGTGCTCGGAATCTGTTCGGAACCTGATAAAAATAAAATAGATATGCTACCCTACCAAAGTCGACATTCCGGACTCAAAGGCGTAGTCAAAATTTTCATCAGAGGTCATCTCGATAAAATGTGGGTCCCACTTCCATTGGTCATTTTAAGTCAAAAACCACAAAAGGGCTCGAAAAAATATCAAAAACCTCAAAACCCGAAAGAAGGGTCAAACTAGACCAAACTCGACATTCCGGAGCTAACCGCGCTGACGAAATTCTCATCCGAGCGCGTTTACTCAGAATGTTTACTTAAGTCAAACTTAGCCTTTAAACTTAAAGTTAAAACGCCTAATCCCACCAACTCACACTGAAAACTTTGGGAGTCATGTCGACAATGCTACTAGACTAAAATGACCCTTCCGGAACTGATGGAATCGTCAAAATTGGATTCTGATGTCATCTTCTTGAAATTCTGATCGAAAATGATCGTTCAAGGTTCATAAGCTTCAAAAATACTAAAGCTCACACAATAACAAAACGAATGACCAGGTGACCGATCTATCAGTCCCAGCAAGTCATAAATGACTTGGAATCGCTATAGGAACGCTCTAAACGATGCACAGCAGATAAAACACTAAAAATGACAAGAAGGGTCATTACAATATCCACTACTAAAAAGAACTTTCGTCCGCGAAAGTAAGGGTCAAGAAGTACCTGAAGGCTCAAACAAGCCGGGAAACTGCTCTCGCATCTCCTGCTCGGTCTCCCAGGTAGCCTCCTCGACTGAACGATGCCTCCAACGGACCTTAACAATAGGAATGGCTCTCGAGCGCAATTTCCTCACATCTCTGGCTAGGATGGCAACTGGCTCTTCTACAAATGTCAAATGATCATCCAACTCAATTGCATCATACTGGAGCACATGGGACTCATCAGGAATATATCGGCGTAGCATCGAGACATGAAAAACTGGATGGATGGCTGAAAATGCTGGAGGTAGGGCCAACTCATAAGTAACCTCCCCAACTGTCCGAAGTATCTCAAAAGGCCCAATATACCTGGGGCTAAGCTTACCCCGTCTCCCAAATCTCATCACACCCTTCATGGGAGACACACGGAGAAATACTCGATCACCAACAGAAGATCTCAAAGGTCGATGCCTCCGATTCGCATAACTCTGGTGCCTACTCTGAGCTGTCCTGAGTCTATCCTGAATCACTCTCACCTGCTCCAAAGCCTCCTGAATCAAATCTGTACCTCGCGGCCTAGGCTCTGTAGACTCGAACCAGCCCACTGGAGTGCGACAACGCCTACCATACAAGGCCTCAAACGGGGCCATCTGAATGCTAGAATTGTAGCTGTTGTTATATGCAAATTCCGCCAAAGGCAAGAACTGGTCCCATTGACCACCAAACTCCAAAACACAAGCCCGTAGCATGTCCTCAAGGACCTGAATAGTGCGCTCTGACTGACCATCAGTCTGCGGGTGGAAAGCTGTGCTCAGGTCAACCTGGGTGCCCAACTCATCCTGAAAGGTCCTCCAAAAGCTAGACGTGAACTGAGAACCCCGATCTGATATAATAGAAACTGGCACCCCATGAAGTCGAACCACCTCCCGAATGTAGATACGAGCCAACCTCTCGGCACTAAATGAAGATTGAACGAAAAGGAAATGTGCTGACTTGGTCAATCGATCAACGATGACCCAAATACTATCAAATCCTCTAGAAGTCCTCGGTAGACCAGCCACAAAATCCATAGTAATGCGGTCCCACTTCCACTCCGGAATGGGTAATCCCTGAAATTCACCACCAGGCCTCAAATGCTCAGCCTTTACCTGCTGGCAGCACAAGCAACGATAAACAAAGTCAGCAATATCTCGTCTAATGCCACTCCACCAGTAATGTTGTCTCAAATCACGATACATCTTCGCTGTACCCGGATGGATAGAATATCTAGACTCATGAGCCTCCGAAAGTATCAACTGTATCAAATCTCCAACTCTCGGGACACAAATGCGACCAGCGAATCTCAACACTCCATCAGGATCTAAGGTAGCTTGATCACCATTACCCGCTAACACTCGATCTCTAAGGGACCCCAGGGCCTTATCCTCAAATTGACAACCACGGATCCTATCATACAAAGAAGACTGAACTCCCATATAAGCCAAGACGCGTCTAGAATCTTGATATATCTAATCGAACCATGCTATTGGCTAAAAATTGAATGTCCAAAGCCAAGGGTCTTTCACCTGCAGATAAGAAGGCTAGACTACCCATACACCGCCTTTCGGCTCAAGGAGTCTACTACCACGTTCGCCTTGCCCGGATGATAGAGAATGGAGAGATCATAATCCTTCAGTTGACTCAGTTCCTGTGGTTAGAGAGTATGCAAATGTGTTCCCTAAAGATCTACCTAGCCTACCCCCAGAGCGTGACATTGATTTTGCTATAGATTTGGAGCCTGGCACTCGTCCTATTTCTATTCCGCCTTATCGGATGGCTCCTGCAGAGCTCAGAGAGCTCAGTGTTCAGTTAAAGGACCTCTTAGAAAAGGGGTTCATTCGTCCGAGTGTGTCGCCTTGGGGTGCTCCTGTTCTGTTTGTGAAAAAGAAGGATGGGACTTTGAAGATGTGCATTGACTACAGACAGCTGAACAAGGTGACGGTGAAGAACCGTTACCTTATGCCTCGTATAGATGATTTGTTTGATCAGCTTCAGGGTACCGTCGTATTTTCTAAGATTGATTTGAGGTCCGGGTACCATCAGCTGAGGATTAGAGCAGCAGACATCCCTAAGACTGCATTTAGGACTCGTTACGGCCATTATGAGTTCCTTGTGATGTCTTTTGGGTTGACTAATGCCCCAGCCGCCTTTATGGACTTGATGACACGTGTGTTCAGACCATACCTTGATTCATTTGTTATCATCTTCATTGATGACATATTGGTATACTCGCGGAGCCGGAGTGAGCATGAGCAGCATTTGAGGATAGTGCTCCAGACTTTGAGAGATCAGCAGCTTTATGCCAAGTTCTCAAAGTGCGAGTTTTGACTTGCGTCTGTAGCATTCTTGGGGCACGTGGTGTCCAAGGAGGGTATTAGGGTAGATCCGACGAAGATTGAAGCTATTCGTGATTGGGACAGACCCACTTCTGTTACTGAGGTTCGTAGCTTTGTCGGGTTAGCGAGTTACTACAGGCGTTTTGTTGAGGGCTTTTCTACTATTGCAGCTCTTTTGACTCGGTTGACTCGCCAGGATATTCCCTTTGTGTGGTCGGAGGAGTGTGAGATGAGCTTTCTGAAGCTCAAGCAGTTGCTTACTAGCGCTCCTATATTGACTCTTCCGATTGAGGGCGAGGGTTTCACGATTTATTGTGATGCGTCTAGTGTTGGTGTGGGTTGTGTATTGATGCAGCAAGGCCGGGTTATTGCGTATGCGTCGAGGCAGCTTAAGGTCCATGAGCGCAACTACCCCACCCATGACTTGGAGTTGGTAGCGGTAGTTTTCACGCTTAAGATTTGGAGGCACTACTTGTATGGAGTTCGATGTGAGATCTATATTGACCACAAGAGTCTTCAGTACATCATGAGCCAGAGGGACCTTAATTCGAGGCAGCGTCGTTTGTAATGACCCTTCTTGTCATTTTTAGATTTTTATCTTCTGTGCATCGTTTAGAGAGTTCCTATAGCGATTCCAAGTCATTTATGACTTGCTGGGACTGACAGATCGGTCACCTGGTCATTCGTTTTGTTATTGTGTGAGCTTTAGTATTTTTGAAGCTTATGAACCTTGAACGATCATTTTCGATCAAAAGTTCAAGAAGATGACATCAGAATCCAATTCTGACGATTCCATCAGTTCCGGAAGGGTCATTTTAGTCTAGTAGCATTGTCAACATGACTCCCAATGTTTTCAGTGTGAGTTGGTGGGATTAGGCGTTTTAACTTTAAGTTTAAAGGCTAAGTTTGACTTAAGTCAACATTCTGAGTAAACGCGCTCGGATGAGTCCGTCAGCGCGGTTAGCTCCGAAATGTCGAGTTTGGTCTAGTTTGACCTTTCTTTCGGGTTTTAAGGTTTTTGATATTTTTCCGAGCTCTTTTGTGGTTTTTGACTTAAAATGGCCAATGGAAGTGGGACCCACATTTTATCGAGATGACCTCTGATGAAAATTACGACTACGCCTTTGAGTCCGGAATGTCGACTTTGGTAGGGTAGCATATCTATTTTATTTTTATCAGGTTCCGAACGGATTCCGAGCATCCGTCGGAGACTTTAAAGAAAGTAGGCAAAACTGAATCTGGTGCAGCCCTTTTAACGACCAGAAATTGGGGTTTTAACGACCAGAAATTGGGTTTTTAATGACCAGATTCGTCCTTATAAAAATCCAACTTTCAGCTTTGTGTCTTACTTTGAAATCTTGATATCTTGAGCTATACAACTCCAAATTGGGCGATTCAAAAGGCTAAGTTGTGAGATTTTTCGAGGGCAACGCATTGGTGAGCTTGGAATCTGATTTGGGGACCCGATTTGAGGTAAATTTAGGGTTTTAACTGCTGTCATAGCTCATTTTCGAGCACAAGTTTTGGGAAATTTTAGAAGGTGATTTCTTGGCCATTTTAGGTCCGAATCTAGTGATTCAAGAGCCTATATTGTGGGGTTTTTCGTGAGGATCGTCGTGGTGTGGTTGGTTTTGGCTGTTGGAGCTTCATTTTTGGTAAAATCTTGTAAGTAGCTGCTGCCATAGTTGCTGATTTTTAGCTTAGAATTTGGGTTTTTTTGTTGCATGTTCATGTTGGGACTGTCTTGAGTCCTGAATTGTGTTCCATTCTGGTATACAAGTTACGAGAGTTATTTAGGACTTTTATTTGGGGTTAATTCGGGATTTCTCAATGCGGATCCCACTTTTTCCATTTTGACCGCGAAATTGACCCGTCTCCGTTTCTTGCGATTTTAGTGTTTAAATGACTGTAATAACGTTGTGACTCTATTTCTGATAGTGTATCAACGTTTCGAGGCCTTTTAGAAAGTAAAAGATCCGGGGAGTGAATTTTGGAGCGCGCGTGATCTGCGTTTAGGTAGGCTATGGTTTCTCTTCTTAGATTGAACTCGAACATATGAATGCATGTTGATTCGTTGGGATTTGGGTTGGGTAGTTATTGGATCATGCATAGGTGTTAAAAATCATATTTTCGCCCTTTTTCTGAGAATTATCGGGTAACTGTGAGCATGTTTATTGTTATTAATTGACCTTCTTTGCTATATGAATTACTTGTATGTTTGAATACTGGTTGTCAGAAGTATGATGGGCCTTAGTTTAGGTTTGACTAGGGTTTTCCTTAGAAATGCATGATTCAAAGACGGTAGGATTTAGTTTAGCCCCGACGTCGCTCGGCCGGCTTAAATCCTTGTAGACTGATGTAGCAAACTTGAGTCTGATAGTTGGGTATTTAGAAAGACGATGAGCTTGCTCTAGCGATAGTTACTCTTATTTCTTCGATGTTACGGCTTCTCGAGTTACGTCAGTGACAATGATTTCCGCTCCGTGATTCAAAGTTGAGTTCGATTCAGCTTTAAGGACTTACATTGATTAGCTAAGTCTGGATGGTGTTCCACGGGTTTATATGATTATGGATAGATAAAGACTCTTTCAGCAGCTATATCGACATCTTTGTCGGGTATCCGAATGTAAGGTCCGGCCTCGAACATCCACATACTTATGTAGAGCATCCGGTTAGAGGTCCGGCCTCAGTTACTTATATTTTGCAATTGGCTACTTGTGTAATTCTGGTGAGCGTCCGGTTCAAGGCCCGACCTCCGTACCGTCAGATTCTACCTTTTGGTTCGGTGTTTTTTGGCCTCGAGTTTTATTCTCCTTAAGTTATAGTTACTTTGTGTACTCGTCGGGCTTATGGGGGTCCGTTCGGGTTTTTATTTAAACTTGTGCACTAGTGTACCTTCTGGGCTTATGGTGGGTTTAGTTAGGTGCAGTTAGCTTATTTATATTAATTTAGTTAGATCTTTATACACTCGTGTGCATTATTGTGTTATTTAGTCTTCTGTTCTTGACCTCTAGTTTTGTGATTCCGTCTTTTCATAGTGCTTTACTTTTCTAGTTTAGTCGGCCTATGATGCCTACTGGGTACCTGTTATTTGGTACTCATGCTACGGTCTGCATCTATTTTCGTGATGCAGGTCCGAGCACCAGTAGTCAGCGTTGATCGAGTTTGGAGCATTTCTAGTCTGGAGACAGAGGTGAGCACACAGCGTTTTGTACTATTTCAGTCTTCATCTGTTTATATAAAGACTTGTCTTTTACTTTTCGAGACAGTCTAGTTTCGGTGGTCCACTGTTGGGACTTGTACTCGTTTTGTTGGTAGCTCTGTATTAGTGACTTCCAGGCTCTGGGAGAGATCCTTAATTGTATTTATGTTGTTATAGTAATTTTGCTTAGTCGTGTTTAGTTTCTACCCTCACACCCATTACGTGTTGTTCTGGGTTGTGGTTTGGCTTACCTACTGATGGGTTATAGTAGGTGCCTTCATGGCTCGAGAAATTGGGTCGTGACACTCATTCTCATTGTTCATTAATCAGAGTAAAAAGATCACATCACTCATAACCCCTGCATATTGCTTAGAATGCCTCTACCATAAGATCACTCTTACGATAAAGGGGCTCCTTATAAAGCGAAACAAAATAAATCTTTATAGACAGACTGGGTTTCTTGTTTTCACTGTCCATATTAACTGATAGGATTTATCATTTTCATCTTATGTTGGACAGAGTTGTGGAAATGCAATGATAAAATTGTTGTATTATTCCATAAGCCCAGGCTTCCAGCCACAGAGCTGGAAATTACATATGTTTCTATAAGGCAGCATGCACTGAAAGGATATGTTCTTTGAAACTAGAAAGTTACCTTGGTGAATAGCTGAGTCCTTGTGTGGAGAGGCTGCAAAGAAATTAATGGTCAGACTAGACACAAACTTGACATTAGAAGTAGACAAAGGATTATCATGTAGTTGTTACAAAAATCCACTGGGCATGGAAATTATGCTCAAAAGCAACTTAGAATTTTATGATTTATCTGAAAGCATAACTAGTATCAACATTGATCACAAGAAAAGAGAGAGAGCGAGAGAGGGTGTGCTATAATTTCTAGGTCCATATTGCATCAGGAAATGTCGGTAGAGAGGAAGATTTTCCTAGCAACATATAAGCAGAGAGATTGATGTATACTTACAGCTTCTGTACAGCCAAGTAATAGGCTGACTAAAAGCTTCCATTGCAGAAATGCTTCAAGTGACTGTCCCATCTGTAAATTGTTCACATATTTAACTTCAACAACTGTCTTCTCAATTAAGTTGGTTCATCACATAAAGAACTAAAGAGCAAAGAAAAGTTGAAACTGCTGGCTGATACCAGAAACGCTACAAAGGCAAATTGTAGTTCTCCCAGAAGTGAATCTTCTGAACCACCATATTGCTTCGTCAGAATTGTCTCCAATATGTGTGTCTGCATTGAAGGTAAAATATAAAGTTATTCTCAAAAGCAAAAGAAAAGAAAAAGAGAAAGACTGATCAATTTTATATAAACTGCACAGATTTAAGCCAAATACCTTGTCCAGATTCATGTTAGTAAGATCTTGTCCTGAAACTCCCTTTAGCTTTATAACACGAGGAATTGAGGTGTAATAACAACTGTTACTTGGAGACTTCTTATCAGGCTTCGAGAACTTGCTACTCTTTAACTGCTCAGCCAAGACTTTCTCCATGGCCGTCTTATGAACATTCCCAACCATTTCAGATTCAGAAATAATTGTAATTTCTCCTCCAACAGGTTCTGCAAAATAATGAAACTGGTGAAGCGAATAGGAAAAGGATAACAAGACAGAGCAATGATCACACACACAAGAGTAACTCATGTTTTGATTTACTCAGAGAGAGATAAGTTGATAACCCATTATCTATGACATGAGACTTACTAGCTGAACCAATTCCATTGAGCTGGTCAAAGAAACCAAAGGGTCACAATTAACAATAGCAAAAGAGAAAAAAGGGTTCACAATAAGGTTGTTTATTTTAATATGAACTCAAGTATCATTGTCTCACGTAAAAAAGGGATTGAGAAATCATGTGATAATTAATGGGTTTAATAATGCTATCATGTTACCAATGGGATACCTACGCCAGTAGCCGCACAACTAATGGGATTAGGTGGCATCATATATCAGGCACCATCTAATCGCGAAAAACACAAGGACTGAGTGACATTACTCCCAAATATTCTCAAACTTTCTACCTCTTTATGCTGATAACTCTTTTATAATCAACTCAACCAAGGATTCCACATCTTTGGCTCAGATGTTGCCCTCAGTTCTCATCGTCAAAACACTAAGAGACCATGTGAAAGCAATGTACATACCAATTCTTCCAATGGTACTCTTCGTAATAAAGTTAGATAAGCGCTTCCAATCTCCGTACTGATCCAATGCATAAGGGCCAAGTTGTCTGTCAAACTCCAATTTTTTCACCGCTTGAGCATATCTCTCTCCCTTCAAATAAACCGGATATAATCATTTTTTGAAAAGGAAACAAGTCTTCTAAAGCAATAAAAATGCACACCATAAATATGTTTTAAGAATAATGTTGCATTAAACGAAAACCAATTCCAACATAGGTCTCCGATGAACGAATACACAGAAAATCATAGTTCACCAGTGCAGTAGACAAGCTGAAGCTCCACTGGCATAGAGAACATACGTAGATGACACCAAAATGAATTATTGTCCGATTTATTAGCTAACATGTTATGGCTAGCTTCTAACATGCTGGATCATAGCAGATTTCTCTGCACACATAACCAATCACCAACAAGGAACAAAAAAAAAGAAGAGGAAAAGAAATGAGAGGAAGAGGAGTAACGAAAATTCTTCAGAGAACTCACCTCTTCTTCGGATAATTTGACAAATCGCTCATCCTTTGAATCCCATTTCTTAACAATGACCTGCTCAATTATCATTGGAAGACAGATTATGCTTCCCAACATACTTATAGACATTTTTCCAACATACTTTGACATAAAAGAAAAAAAGCAACATTTAGTACATCAATGACAAGTGAACAATTGTTCAAACATAGAATAAAAAGAAATCAACAAAAAAAAGCAAGAGATACGCATATAATGAACCTATGGTAATATAATTGTATCTGTGTCTATGGTTTGGCATCATAAAACTGTACAAACACTATCTAGTTATCAAAATTAGTAGCGCTCAGAACAAATATAAACATGAGTGGATCAACAAATAAATGCAGAAGTGGCAAATGAGATCTTTTGTTAACCTCTGAAGGGCTAGCCTCAACGAAAAAACCAACTATTGGTGAGAACTCATTCCCTTCTCTGCACCCAGAAGAAGAAAAGACAACATTAGAGACTAATAATCTCGTTTTCTATGAAGAGAGAGAAACCAAAAGAGCAACAAACAACAGCAAAAAAGAACAATATGGTACAAAAATTAAAAGATCTGGCAACAGAACATGATTCTTACAGCACAAATGAATGATAAACTGTTGGGAGAAGGTCAGAGACGCCCATTCAATGAGTCCAGAGGTGAAGCAAGGATTAGGAGTTTGGGGTTCTAAATTACGTTAATAACCGTCAATCAACTTTGTTAGGGGTTCACAAATTAATATACATAAATATTTAATTAATTTTCCAGTACAAATTAGGGTCTACGGAAAAGCTATTGGGTTCGTCCGAACACATGAACCCCCAGCTAGCTCCGTCTCTACCATTCACTTGAAACAAGAAGAATTTAATTTGAGCTTTCTAGGCTTAAACTTTATAGTTATGATATTGAAGTGAGTAGCCTATATCAGTAAAAAGGTTAAGTGACATAAATGGGTTCTTATGCAACAATCAGAAACCAGAATTGCTAACAGGAAAGTCACTACAGCATTCACTAGAAACAGCAAACTGGAGAATATAATTTGCCGTTTCTAAGCTATAATCATATTTCCAGCACTTTTAACTTATAATTAAGTACTTCGAAACCAATATTTCAGGATGACTACTCCACAACCCTAGAAACTTAATTAGTTCCTGAAGAATATGATAAGTAATGGGATTCAAGCTAAAAAAAAGCACCTGTTGGATGAACTGTAATAGATGAAATGAACGCCAGGAGGAATCATCTTCACACCTTTGAAATTAGGCCCGGAGAAAAACATCTACAGATAACGAAACTACTTCAAATTAAAACGAAATTAATCAATTGGAAAAATTGAACAGCAAACTATTCAAAAAATTAAAACAGACCTGGGTATCAATACCGATGAGGGTATTCTGAGGAACATCAAGAAGTAGCAAGGTAGCGCCATGCTTCACTAACTCTAATGCTGCTTCAGCTTCCATTTTTTGAACTCTCCAATTTGTTGTTACTGGAACGGGCTTTCCCGCGAGCCCAGGTTCCAGAAACCTCTTTAAACGTTCCGATGAAGTTTAACGAAAATATCAGGTTCTGCCCCTCAAATTTGTAGAAACTGCTCATTGGTCCTTGTGAGAAAGAGTAATTACAATGACTGCCCTTCATTTTCCGACAAATTCAAATTAGCCCCATCACGGTGGATTCTTTTTTTCTTTTTCGGGAAACTAGTACCTACTTATAGCTTCAATTTTCCAAAAATTATTTTTGTACAACTTTTAAGAAATATAGTTCTCAAAAATCTAAAACACCTAAGTTCAGATATCAATGCTTATATCAAAGGTCGAGTACTTCTATGTATGACAAAGGTTAAGCTCAACTGAGAAAACATGCATACCTCATTTGGGAGATCCCTACCCAAGACCTAGTACTCTAATTTTTCAACGTTTTTTCAAATTTCACCAATCTTACGTCTAAACACCCACTTAGTTTAGAAAGCTCAGGCAGGATAGGATATACATAGAGTTGCCTCAACTTGTGTGTAATTGTGCTGTACTCCCTCCCCTTAATGAGAGGTTCTACTCGACCTATTCGAGTGAGCCAAAGTGGATGGTCTACACTCTACCCCCAAACTAGTCGACACTGGGGGTCTTCTCTTCTTTCAAAATAAAAGGAGTGATGGTTGACGTTGATTAAACCCACCATAACATGAAAATGATTGTTTTGTTCCAGCCAACTGAATACTCGTGCCTCAGTTCGTTGATCCAAGAGGTTACGAGAACGGAGCAAGGTATCTATATAATTAAAAAAATACCAAGACCTGTCCCTGTAATTTTTCCTTTAGGTGTATACAAGTGTTATCCCTCTCAAGTTTTGCGAAGCACAGAATAGCCATAAGGATAAAGCACAAAAAAATGAAGGAGAAAGGAAGGCAATAACAAAATGAATATAACGATTGCCATACCCTCTTTTCCCAGGATGCTCTTCTCAGTACTATCTGTTGCCATCTAATTATAAGTTAATGGGGGATATGAACGTCTTCAGCAACAAGAGCTAAATGGTCCACTCTATTTATAGTGTACAAATCAAACTGTTTCATTCTACTGAGACTATCCTAAAGGAATAAGTAGACCAGACGACAACAGATCTTAGTTATATCTTTTAGCTCTATATTTAACTTCTGGGTTGCGGATGTCATCTAGGCTCTGGATCAACCGAATTTCCAAACTGCTTGATTGGCAGTCATAGCCAACCTTCTGATAATCTGCTAGTGTCCTCAATAAAAGTGCCTGCATCAAGCAAACAATATTGGTTGATTTGAGAAAAGAGAAAGCAACTAATGTATGTCACAAGCATGAAAAATTCTGGATAGTTGAATGTGCACTGTGTACACTACCCAAATTTTTTACTCAAAATACGACTAGGTTGCATCAAAAAAAATATTAACATAACACATTATATTTGTTCTTGGCACAAGTCAAGAAAAGCCGCTGTTTTAACCTTCAGCTATATAAAAGCATAAGCCTATATATTTGTTCAGTCCGGCAGAAGGCTCATAGCTGTTTTACAATTCGTGGTGTTAACAAAGCGCAAAAGCTCCTGGTTATTAGCATAGGTTTATGAAACAAATTTCCCAAATCATGACAATGCAATCAAACTAGTTAGATGCTGTCATAGTAACTTATTCAAAATGCCGATCCAGTCTCCACATTTTAAGACATTACATGAGTGGATGTACACAAACAATAGGGAAGCACACTAGTACCTGTACACTTGAGACAGCAAGCTCTGCCGCTTTGTCGAGGTCATCGGGATATTTCTGTATGAGATAAAAAATTAATATCAGAGAAGATTATGGTGGGAAATAAAGCTCAGACTGTCTTAAGTGAGTCAAACATTACATTGCTCCAGCCAAGCAACAAAGCAGTCGTTAAATCTCCAGTTCCCTGCAAGCATGTAATGTATATTGAATGAATTTCCAAAAGCTAATATGTATTGGGAAACCGATGAAGGTGAATGAGCATTAAAGTAAGAATCCATAAACAATTTCTGGGATTTCTACATTGTTGTAGAAAGTGCACACCCACCAGCCTTGTCATTCAAAATGAAAACTGAATGATATCCCTGATATCTTAATAAGTAGGCATAATCTCAGTAAATCTAATAAGCACGAATAATCATGTTGGAAACCAGCACAATAAGACATATCAAATAACTAGATGCATAGCGGTCGATGCCAGCTCTCTCCCCCTTCCTCCCTCTTAGGCGGAGCTCACATTGCCCAACAACTAAAAAAATAAGCATTGAACTCCTAAAACAATGAAAGAACACTTGGTAAAACTTAAGTCTCATATATAGGATTTCTGAAAAATTAAGAAGTTGGAAGTGTGGAGTTACTAATTGTCTACATGGACTATGCACGGGCTTCTGAGAGATGTGCATATCTGTCACATCATGACAGATTCGGAACGTCCCTTCCGCACCCCTAAGTACGCATTGAAATTCACTTGTGAAGTGTAAGACCAAGTTACATGTGCAAGGAGATTAACAAATTATCCCACATAAATTGACTAGCGACTTCAAAGGAATTTATAAGAAACTTGGGCCGGTCCAATTATTGATCAAATATTTGGATTGGATGCTCAGATTTTTGCAAAGTAACAAATGTCCTTTCAATGTCTCTCCATGGAACTTACCCCCCACAAGAGAAAAATAATAAACATGTTGATTACATTACTTGTAATCTATGTGGGAGTGTTTCTCTTTAAACCCCAGAAAAGGATAATCTTTATAACCTGAATCAATTATTCCAGCGAAGCACTAATTTATGCAATACACTAATTTCGACGAAAAACGAAGCAAAATTTTTCCCTCCAAAGTCAAACTTCTTTAATTATCTTAGCTGCAAGACACATACCGTGAAATACGCAGGAATTTTCGGTATCACAATCTTGAATTGCTCAGGAGATTGACCCTGTCAAATTAGATATCCGTATCATATAACTTTTTAGTGAAAATAACATTGATCGGTGGAATCATTCCTAAATAAAAACAGAACAGCGATGCTTAAAACTCATAATTAAGCAGTTTCATGGGAGCAATAGTAGGGATAAACTAACTGCATCGCAATCTTAAGAAAGCTCACATGCAAATTCCATTTCCAGTTTGCATGATGTCAAGGAAAGGACGAAATGCTGACCAGATGATAAATCGAAATCCAATGTGAAAATATTCCTTCAGTCCCAATTTCAATTCGATTAGTACTACACTATCCATCCATTTTTACTTGTCCAGTATAGACTTGACACACCCCTTAAGGAGCAATAAATAGAATGACTATTTTACTATATCCCCTTTGACTATAAGAAATTCAATGCTTTGATAAATGAATTGTAAAATGACTATAGTTGATAATAAGGGTAAGTATAAATTATCTTGGTTTTCTAAACTGGACAAATAAAAATGGACATCTATTTTCAAGTAAAAGTGAACGCAGCGAGTACTAGCCCACTAGGATGGGAAAGTTGAACTCTGAGAGTTTTAGTTATTATTTGGGGCACAATGTAGAATCGCATGGCAACTTTGCTGTTGGATAAGACAATAGAGGAAAAACTGTATTGAGAGAAATAAAATTGGATCCACTAGACTTTTGCTTTAAAATGTATTAAAAATCTGCTCTTTTAAGGAAATGCACACTATTTTTTGGACTTACCATAAAAAGAAAGTAGGACTACCCTCTAGGAAAGTACCTGATATCAAAATGATAGACAATCATGTCATTTACCTTTTCTTTCTGGTGACTGCCAATAAGGAGAAGAGTGCCATCAATGTTTATGCTAGTGATAACAACCTGACATAGATCACAAAGACCTGAATGATACAATACATGCAAAACAAAAAACGCAAAGGCCTGAACGATAATATAGAAAAATGCAATACATCAGCATCTAAATTTATTTTTATCTTTTAAAGAAAAATGGGAGGCTATACGCATCATCTATATCTATTGCGCTCTAGCCTCTATTTAGGCCCATTTCATTCCACAAACAGAATATATATTGCACTCTATTTACATGCACTTGTCTTTAGAAAAATATATATTTAGATTCACTTGTCTTTGGAAAAATATATATATTTAGATTCACTTGAAATAAGGTGAACTTTTGTGACTAGCGTATCCATATAAAAAACAACAAAATATATAATTGCAGAACTTCAGCATATACCTAGATTTATCCAACACTCAGAGCTGCTGATTGTTCCCTTCCTTCTCTTTTAAAAAAATCACTACTTTTACCCGACTTCAAAATGCTTTTTTCTAGATCTCCGCAATTTTTCATGTTCGAGTTAGAGACTATGAACACCAGACTAGATAAGAGAATAGTCAAGTTTAAATGAGTGACAATTGAGCATGAGCTCCAGGAGTAAGTGATTAGAGCCACAAGCTGCCTAAGTAACAGCCCTTGAGGCTCATAAACCTCTTTCAGGTGATGCCACTTCCCCCCTTCTGCCTTGGGAAGGAAAGTTGAGATTAAGCATAACAAAAAGTGAACCCATCCTACACAAGTTTCAAGGTAATCCAAATTCAAAATCGAAGAAAAGACATAGTGGGTACTCAAAATGTGATGATGGCATTGTGTAGGAGGCATTATTCACACACTCATGGAAAGATTCAGAAAGAGATAAAAAGATAGGGGGAGGGAAAGTTATTTAATTGATCAAAAGGTAACATGCTTCAGAAACAAAAAATGTTTCAATTTTCACTTGTCAGTTGCTGAGGAGCATAGACCGGTTGACCCAAAGACCAGTCCAAATTTTCAGCCAAGACATATAAGGACTGAAAATCTTGATTCCAATTAAAGTTATTTTCGTGAAACAATAAATACAGCAATCCTCTACACCATATATTCAGCATTGACAGAGTTTGAGTTTAGGAGCAAATCCTTACAGGAAGTCAATATCAGATATATGTTCATCTTTTACTACACAAGGTTCCCAACAAGAAGACTCCCATGAAATGCTCCAATTTCAATAATCCAAGACAAAACATGGTTTAATTGGTTAGATGATTCTCACTGGCAATGTGCATTGAGGTTAAGGAGCACCTTAGGATGCGTCGTAGAGATTAATGAAATGGGTAAAAAAAACATCTGAAACTAGGGTTCAAATCTTAGTGGAGAGTAAAAAACACCGGGTGATTCTCCCCTATCTTTCAAAACCTTGCTTGGTAGATTTACCCGGTACCGGTGTTGGTGGGAGGTAACAGGTACCTGGTGTAATAGTAGAAATGCGCAACACCATTGTGAAAAGAAAGTGTTGTAAGGTTAAGGAGAAGCGCTAAGGAGAAAAAGTAATTGCAAAAGAAATATAAGCAACAGAAAAAACTTTCCTGCGAATTGTTCTTGCTATAAATATGACTGCATTAGAAAGCTTTCTAAGAGTATTTAGATCTCTAAGTACATCAGGATACCTTTGATGGCCCAGCAGCATGCAGAATGTTGCAAGCTTCTTGCCCATCTTTTTCAGAAGTGATTCTGTCAAAAAAAAAAAAACATCCTTATTAGGTAGAAGTATTGCAAGAAAATAAATGAAAAGCACAAGATTAAGTGCCCTTTGGATAAGCTTATAAGAAGTAACTTAATAAGTCAAAAAGCTTAAAGTTATAAGTAGGGAATACCCTAGTTTTGGCTTTTGGCTATTTTATAACTTTTTTGACCTAAAGATGAGTGCTTAAAAGCACTTTTTTTTCTTTTCCAAACACCTCCAAAACTGAAAAAAGTGATTAAAAGCCAACAGCACAAAAATCCAAACACCCCCTAAGTCATTCTTCTCTATTTCGCAAAATGAGGTTCCACTCTTCTTTAACAACTTCCAAAAACATTATAGAACTAACAATAGTCAATAAAACCTAGTAAGAGTTCATGATAATACTGATATTAGTTGGTCAAAAGCTTCTAACTATATGATAAGATTAAGAAGAAAGACAAAATCAACTGTGCTTCCAATTCCTTATAACATGTGCATTCACAAGAAAAAAATACATTATTTAAGCAAGCTTCAAGTTAAAGCTTCCAAAACCTTGCATGAACGGTCTAGTGAGTAAGTAGATTAACCAGCAAACTTAGAAAAGACAGCTATTTCAAATAAATGAGGAACCTTTCACATTTTACAGACCTATAACTCTATAACCAACACTATTTGACTTACTCCCACACCTCACACCCCAACCCCACCCAAACAAATGTCATACCACTTGAGAATCAAGTCTACCATAGTAAGACTGCATGTCTTCATTCAGCTGAAATACCCTGAAAATACAATTTTAATCTAGGGATAAGTAACGGCCCCTATAAATGTTACCTGGACCCGGTCAACTGCTCTGCTTCAAACTGGTTAGGCGTCAGCATTGAAGCAACAGGGACAACCTAGTTAAGCAACACAACAAATCACTAAATGCTCCAATCCAGACATTATTCAGTCACCTATTAATTATTTGGAGCCACTCTCACGTTCCGATCCTTAATGCATGTTATATAATTGGATCTAAGTTGGCATCCTTAATGCATGTTATATAATTGGATCTAAGTTGGCATCCTTAATGCATGTTATATAATTGAATCTAAGTTGGCATGTCTAGTCAAAAGATCAAAAAGAAGAAAAGGAGTATTTTTTCACATCCATAACAAGTTTTATAATCAATGTTCACCACCCAAAGCAAGTAAGAAAATTCCATAATGATACAAGTTATAAATGTCCAAAGATCCACAAACTCAAAATAGTGCTATAAAACATTTTTGTTAAAAATGCAGCCTGGTGCACTAAGCTCCTCCTAAGTGTGGGGACCGGAGAAGGTTTGGACCACAAGAGTCCACTATACGACATTAAATAAAGAAAATGCATTGCCTCTGCATGTAAGATAGTCATATAATGTTATGGGCAATATCAAATCAGTGCAAACAAAAATATAAATAATAAGACAGGCTCAGTCCCTTAACATGCTGAAGTTATCACAACAAGCAGCTAGGAGCATACTGAGTGACTGAGCAGTAAAATGTTTGGGTCCTCATCCATTTCTAAGCCTGGTCGATCAAAACAATGTTTATGACGGATTCTTCTAACTGCTAGTTATGATTTATTCACATCGATGTTGTTTTAGCAGAATTAAAAAGAATTACCTTTTCACGGTATACCGTCACCAGCTCTGGAGGAACATATAGCTTACCTTCATCACCCATCACAGGATCACAAACTGACAAATAAAATTTATTAAATCGAGAATCGGGAGGGACAAAGATAAAAGATATGTGTACATACATCCAGAAAGAGAAGCAATTTGGTATAACAGCCTAGTTAGTATCTATCTAAAACAGCATTACACTTCACCAGCAATTACCACATTGAAATTCACCTTCTCCTAAGCCGTAAGATAGTAACAATGAAATAAGGAGACACTTGACTACATGAGGAGAACTGTAAATGCAGTAATTTGGAAAGAATCTATCTTCCTAAATGAAACATAAAAATTTGCTCCTGGGGAAATACTCACCAAATTTAAGTTTGGGGTTGACAGATCGAAGCTTATCAACGACTTTCAGTACTGTGTTCAAAAAGGAGACCGAACCAATATAACCTACAAGTGTTAGTCAATATAAGCATCTGAGCCCAACAAAGCATTCCATATAAACAAAGAGGGAAAACAATGAGAAAAAGAAAAGAAGATTCCTGTCAATAGAAAAGAAGGATCAAATTGAGAAGCAGTCTGAATTCCTATAATGGCAAATAAATGCAGCCCAAAACACAAGACAGATAATTGGATTGACACAAGACACAGCAGGTAACTAGTCTATGCAAGGTAACCAAAACTCTTTTTGCAATTTCATTTTATACGTACTGAAAGCTATAGATGAAGGAGCAGAAGGCATTTTTTAAACTGCTAAATATATAAGTTTGTTGACATGTAAGTTCTGGTATCAGAGCCTTCAAGCATGAATGTATGTCATAAAAAACATTATGGTATACTCATTCAAAGTACCTGTCAGCAGATGAGTATAATATAACAGACCATTGGCTTCAAGACCTTCTATTAATTCCCACAATTGTTCTCCATTTAAAACCTGTCCCTTAAAGGTTGGGTATCCTGCAGAGTGCTTCAGCTAATTAACCATAACATAATCCAGTTCACATGATTTTACAGGTTAACAGATGACCTCGCACCGTATTTCAGGCCTCAGATTCTTTGAATGAAGTGATATAAGCAGCTTGCCTGTGTGATTTGAGAACTGTACAGAATTGATTGGGTCCACATCATAGCCCAACAGTTGGAGGGGGAATACTGCTGACTTGTTGCCCACATATCCCTATGTAAAAGCAAAATTTGGAAAATAACCTCCTGATCAAATATTAATCTACACAATAATGTGTGAAGAACACCAAAAGAGTATCAATAATCTAACATCATAAACTCATACTCAATAGTGTTTTTTTTTACGAAGAACTCGTAGTCAATAGTTAAAAGATCAAGGTTTTCTATCCTTCCCTTCCCTTTTTTTTTTTAAACTGATAACTGATAAGGTAAAGTATTGATGATAAGTACTACAACAATTATAAAAGAGAAAAATGTTTCTATTCTTCTGTGAGTGTCATTTCAATTTAAAAAACCAACCACCATGCAGGTGGTTAATTAATACCTTGCAAGATATGGAGCTAAATGGATGTCAGGTCAAACTCCTAGAATGACCAAATGGCTCCTAAAGACATATGTAGCTGTAGCCCGTAAACATGCTGACATCCGAATCAGTGGAGAATCAAATACATTCTGAGAACTGCTTACTCAGTGCTTGAGAAAAGAACATTTAAATGCAATACCAAAAATCTTACTTATCACTAAGAATGAAATAGAAGGAGATTCCATGTCAAATGAAGAACAAAACAAAAGGAGATTCCATGTCAAATAATTCTTTTAGATGACCTCACTTCATTGTGGCAGAGATGAGAAATTTACTGGTTTAGAGTTTACGTTACATTGGTGCTACGTAACCATTACATTCAAATCCTAGCAATGCAGAGACATTTCCTACATCTATAAATACACCCTAAGAACGGTTTTAACTTTTAACTGAACTTTTGACCCAGGAAGCATGGAGGAGCGTAGAAGAGCATTGGAAGCCCGAGATTCACCACTTCCATCACGTTTCAATTCAATACGGATCGGATTAATCATTGATTGTATTGTTTCCTCATTCTTCTTCTTCTATGTTCTTTTTTATTATTATGGAGTAGCTTGCTTCAGGGTTTTGACAGACATGGTGTATTGATAAATTACAGTGGATTTTGATTCTCAGTTCTATTCTTGAACTCGATATGGAAGTTGAATTAATTTGTGGCTTCGTTCAATATTTTGTTTAATCAAAAAAGGAACAAATTAGTGAATATCTCTGCCCTAACTTGTTTAATTTGATTTATTATTTATTTCAAGTAATTGAAAGAGTTACGAGATTGTTGATTGAACCAAGAGGAAAAATATTTGAAAAGACATTTTTTCCTTAATATTAAACCTTACCCGTGTTCATGCATATCTAAATTCAATGTGCTTTAATTAGTTTCTCATTTTAAGTTTAGATTTAATACAAAGAAAAATTCAAACCTTAAAGACTACTCTAACTAACTATCGAAACTGTGAGAATTGATAAGACTTTAAACTTGTATATTGAACAAAAACTATCCAAATTATTGTCTTGTACCTGTCTTGTCCCTTACTCATCACATTGATAGTAATTGTTGCTTTTGTGATTAATTGTCTTAATTTACATTATTAGTCGTTAATCGTGGTTTTCAACCACAATAAATTCAAGTTTCTATCCCCTGAATAATAGTTAGCAAGTTGTTTGATTTATTATTCGAACCAATTCATGTCGATACAATGTTGATATTATCCTATCCTTGGTTACCAAAGCGCTTGGTTTATACCGATTTTGCGCATCAGGTAACAACTTAATCATGTATACCTATCAAGACAAATAGTAGATACATATTCACATTGGAACATTTTAGCTTTTAGTTCGCATAACAGGTACTGTACAAAAATAAGTATATCATCTCAACTACTGAAGATATCAGAAAGTAACAAAAATTGGCTTCACAACTGGTAGCATGTGCTGCAGTGCAAGCTATGATACTCGTGCAGGACATACTTCAACAATCATTACTCGCACAGGCAGGTATTTTTACAGAACAAGCAGGAGCAGATCTAAGAGGGGGCAAACCCTCGCCCTCTCGGCAAAAAGTTACACTACATATAAAGTGTTTTTCAAAATTTTAGTGCATATGTAGATTTTAAATCCCCTCAATACAAGACTAAAGGTTGACTCGATGGTGTAGAGGGTCAAAAACCACTTCAAGCTCAAATAGCAGGCACTACATTTTTATTTTTTGAACCCCTTAGTGAAAATCCTCAATACTACCACTGATAACAAGGTGGAAGTTTCTATCTGTATCCTAAACTATTTCATCTATTAAAGAGCTGCTAACTAAAATTGGTCTACATAGCACATTAGCTAGTTATTAGAAATCTAAGTTTTTATGTTCAAACTCTTTATGTCATAAAATCTGAGCAAATGCTAGTCTACTACTCCAACTAAAATTGGGATCGAGGAGGCCCTTATTGATGACCAAGTCAGAAAAAAACAGGGATACCTGAACAGTATGCGACTGAATGCTGAGGACACGACCGGTATCCGATGGAATTGCTAACGCCAGGATCGGTGGGCGGGCCATGTGCAATTGCTTCAAGCACCTGGTTCTACAAAAGTACTTCAATTACTCCAAAAAAGAATCACCCACACTACTACTAGTAATACATACATAAAAGATAAAGGAACTTCACCTGAAATTTGACAAGCTTCGGATTGAACTGGATCCAATTCGAGTGATGAGTGGAGAAACAAACATATAGAGAGAAAGAAAAGCTTAAGTTGTAATTTAATAATGTATTACCAGTTTCCAAACCTTGCAATAATAGTGTGATCAAAAAGTCTTTTTTTTGTATTAAATTATTGTGACTTGGAGATTTGATGTTAGGTTAGATTCTCTGACTGAGTCGGTTAGGTGACTCTATTTAGTTTGCGATAGAGATGACTAACGAATCGCAGTATATTTTAGGGTTGCGGCATATATAGGAAGTTGGAAATGAGAGGTTGCGTACAGTCTACGAATTTAGTCAATTTCATAATTTTTTCTATTATAAGAATTTATTTTTTAACGTAAATTTATATTAATTAAATTTTAATATAAGTAGTAAAGTTAAATGAAAAATAAAAACAAAGAAAACAAAATATATGAGTTCCTATTTTACCAACAAAACGTGTGTATACTTTGTTTATGAGAATCAAAAGTATGTGACCAAATATGGTATAGTATTGAAATTAATACTATATCTTTTCAAAAAGAAAATTAAAGATTCAAACTATTCGAAAAGGTTTAGATATACCCTTTGTTTAAAGTTTGGTTCACTTACGCTCTCGTTATGTAACTTTTGGTCCAAATATGCTCTTATGGGCGTTATTTGTCATGTTGGACATATCCAACTCATTTTTCATTTGTTTAAATGTCACATGAAACTGTAATGTCATTTTGACCTTACCACATGATATTTATACGAAAATGAAAAGATATTCGGACTCATAAACACCTAATCCGATCCATAAATCAACCACCTTTTAAATAAATTATCCGACTGGTTTTCAACAATTTTGTTTAATTTTTATTTTTTTTCGATAAATTCTGAAAATGAGTAATTGATTAATAAAAAATAGGAAGAATATGGAAAAAATATAAAATTAACGTTAAATATTAACAAATAATCATAGTAACCTTAAATTCAATTTAAAGACTTTTTTTAATTTTATTTTATTTTTTTCGATAAATCTAGAAAAGAGAAATTGAATAATAAAAAATATAAATTTAACGTAAAAATAAATTAAAAAAACAGTAACCTTAAATTCAACAATTTCACCATTTTTTAAATTTTTTCAGTAAATCCCAAAAATGAGTTCATAAACAAAAAATATGAAAAAATATGCAAAAAAATTCACAAATAAAAAATAGGAAAATATGAAAAAAAAAATATATCAAATGAAAAAATTGTTGAAATTATTGAATTTAAGATCACTATATTTATTTGTGAATTTTCACGTAAAATTCTTATTTTGTTTTCGTATTTTCCTTTTTATTAATAAATTACTCATTTTCGAGATTTGCCGAAAAATATAAATAAAAATTTAAAAAATGTAGAGTGAAATGTTACTATATTTATTTGTGAACTTTTGACGTTAATTTATATTTTTTTTCACACTTCTCATATTTTTTATTAATTAATTACTCATTTTCGAGATTTACCGAAAAATAAAAAATTTAAAAAATATTGAAATGCTAGATTTAAGGTTACTATATTTATTTGTGAATTTTTGGCGTTAATTTTATATTTTTTTTCATATTTTTCATATTTTTTATTAATTAATTACTCTTTCGGGATTTACCGAAAAATAAAAATTAAATAAAATTGTCAAAAATGGGTCGGATAGTGAATTTAAAAGGAGTTGATTTATGGGTTGGATTAGGTGTTTATGAATTCGAATATCTTTCCATTTTCATATAAATGTCATGTGGTAAGGTCAAAATGACATGACAATTCCACATGGCATTTAAAAAAATGAAAAATGAGTTGGATATGTCTAGCATGACAACTAACGCCCATAATGACATATTTGGATCAAAAATTGGACGGCGAGGGCACGAGTAAACCAAACTTTAAATGGACGATATTTATTAGTACAATTATATTTTTTTATGACATCAATAGTAAAAAAAATATTTTTTTTGAATCACATTATATTCTTGTTGGTTGTATCATAATTAAAAAAATCACTTAACTAGTATTACAACAGTGCTCTTTGATAGAATTTGTAGTACATAGGGATTCCATAGTATATAATTGACTATGGAATTTTCAATAATTGATGCAATTAATTGTTATTAATATGATAGAAGAATATAGAGATTGAAGAATGGGTTCTTTCAAGATTATATTTATTTTTAAATTAAAAGGGTAAAAATATACTAAAAGAAACTAATTTATAATGTGAATGAGTCTTTTTATCATTCTAACTAAAATTTCTGACATTTTCCATTTAATTTATATTAAAAAGTTTATTAATATGTCGATATATTAAATTTAAACGAAGATTCTAGATTCACTAAGTACTCCATCAGTAAAGTGTACATTTTACTTTCCATGAATCGAGAGGACACATTTCTTCTCCATTAAAGTGATCCGAATCTCAGCGTAACCCTAACTCCCAACCATCACCCGTTACAGTCTCCTCACACAGTTGAAACGAAAAAAAAAAGAAAAAGGTAACATGAAAAGTAAAAGGTACTAAAAAGTGAGTTTTTCTCGAAATGCCCCATTCTTTTTCTTGGTTTAAAAAAGGAAAAAAAGGTAAAGTTGAGTGGCATTAATGAATTGAAGTAGAAAGAAGGTCCATCTATTGGGTGAGTATCTTTCAGAAATCTTTTTTGTGTCGTCATTGTTAAAAGAAGTTATTATTCGTAGTAAAAGAAGCGATATATCTATCTGTCTGTCTTATCTCCCACTAGAAGTAATGGAGCATCACAACACAAAAATGTGCCCTCCTCATGTACTTCTCTTCCCTCTTCCAATACAAAGCCCTATCAACTCCATGCTTCAACTTGCAGAGCTTTTTTGCCTTGCAGGTTTACAAGTTACTTTCCTCAACACGAATCACAATCAACAGCTTCTCTACCGTCACACCAACGTCGAATCCAGATTCAGGCAATATCCTAAATTTCGATTCCGGACTATTTCCGATGGTCTTCCCGACGATCATCCCCGCTCCTTTCCTATGTTTGAAGACCTTATTAATTCCTTGCAAGCTGTGGCAGAGCCTTCTCTTAGAGAAATAGTAACAGAATCCGGTGTCACGTGTGTTATACCTGATGGATTATTTTATTACGCAGTGGATATTTGTAATGAGGTTGGAGTTTCTGTTATTTCATTTGATACTATTAGTCCTTGTTGTCTATGGGTTTATCTCTGTTTCCCCAAACTCATTCAAACTGGAGATATTCCCTTCAAAGGTACTTTTCATTTTTGGAAAATTTTTTTGCATTCATCTTCTCTGCCCAAATCAATTTTTGCATCTAGTATAGCTTCATCCAAGTAGAAAAAAGAAGATGATGAATTTTTGCTATTTTATTTGGAGTTATGTTAATCATCTAACAAGCAAAAATTTACCTATGTTGTTAAAGGAAATGATTTGGACATGTTGATAGAAAATGTACCTGGCATGGAAGATCTTCTACGGCGTCGAGATTTTCCATTCTATCGCCTCACCGATTGTGCAACCGACCTCTATTGTCAACTTGCTCTCAAGGAAATCCAAAGTATACCTCGATCCCATGGACTCATATTAAATACATTTGAAGATTTGGACGGTCCATTACTCTCTAACATTCGGTCTCATTGTCCACAAACGTATGCGGTTGGGCCGCTACACTTGCAACTCAAAACTAGGCTTGCTGATAAAACAATGTCCTCTTCAAATAGTTTGTGGGAAGAAGATCACAGTTCAATTCAATGGCTTGATGCACAGCCCATAGAATCAGTAATCTATGTAAGTTTTGGAAGTCTTGCAACTTTGACAAAGGAGGAAATGTTGGAGTTTTGGCATGGATTAGTAAATAGCGGAATCAGATTTTTGTGGGTCATGAGGTCCGACTTATTGAGGGAAGAAGAGTTCAGCCACCAACTTGTCAAGGAGCTAGCCGACGGTTGCAAAGAAAGAGCCTACATAGTGAGTTGGGCTCCACAAGAGAAAGTACTATCCCACCCTGCTATTGGTGGATTTTTAACTCACAGCGGATGGAACTCGACTATGGAAAGTATTGTTGAAAGAAAACCCATGATCTGTTGGGCTGTTTATGTAGACCAACGAGTCACAAGTAGATTTGTGAGTGAAGTGTGGAAAATTGGGTTGGACATGAAAGACATTTGTGACAGAGACAATATTGAGAAGGTGGTGAAAGATTTGATGGTAACAAATAAGGAGAAATTGAAGAAATCAGTTGACAAGTTATCTATGTTGGCAGAAATTAGTGTTGGAGAAGGAGGTTCATCGTACAATGCTTTTGAATATCTCGTCGATGACATTAAAAAGTTAGGAAGAAGAGACAAGGATATCAACCCTAACTGCATAAGATAAACAGGGTAATACTACCAATCATTGTTTTGTAGTCAAAGATTATATTTTTTTCTTGTTCTTTTACCGGATACTGCAAGTTATTCATACAGGTACACTAGATGAGATAAAGCCTGCCTTAGCATGGGTCGAGCTTAATGTTAGTGTATAAAATTGTATTTTTTTGCCTTTCAAATAGGTTCCTCTTTAAAAATTGAAGTCATGTCTGACATAATTTTTCATGCTCAAGTAGAAACTAGTATGTTACATTAGAATTTGATAGAAAGACTAGGAAGTCAGTCTCTTCATTGTCTTTCTCCTTTCCCTATTATTCCAGCCTGATAGTGATGTAAATACACCTTGTATAAACTAGTATGTTGCAACTTTAAAATGCACGTTTCGGAGGATACCTCTCACCCTTTCCTATTCTTTGTTTCAATAGACTCATTCCATGGGGTGTGATTGTTTGAAACTAGTCCCATTATCCTGTTGTTGGCTGTTCTTGCACAACTTCAACTCCATGGCAACTTGCTGAGACTGCTTCTTGTCTGGTGTCCACTTTTGCTGGAACTTCAAATATTAAGACATCACTGTGCTTTGGACTTTGGAATAGCTTTAACACACTGTTTATGAAGGCCAGCCTGCCTCCAGAGGATAGATACTGCCTTTTCCATGTGGCTTAGCCTTCTTTAAAAGAAAATCCACCACTTGATATTCATTGTAGTTGTTCTTTTATGTTTTGCTCCTTATAGCAGTCCTAGCTTTGATTTACGCCTTACGATTCCTGCTGCTGAATGTTTAGTGAAGTTCCCAGACAAAATTGCAGAAACTTAGCAGTGAGGAAAAAGTTTTTGTTGTATATAGCATACCTTAAAATTTCTATTATTCAACAACGTATATTGATGCTTTTCTATTCATTCATGACCAAATGTTTGAGAAATTAGCTTAGCTCTCCTATTTATTTTGAAATCTAGACATTGTGAGCATGCGTGTAGTTTTTTGGGAATATTTGGTTGTCATTGACAACAAATCTAGTATATACCTCCAGATGTTCATGCCCTTTCTCCTTACCATGTACAGAGTGAGATTTATCACTTAGGTTTAACCTCATTTCTTTAAATCATGACATGAATATCATTTATAACCCTCAGCTAGGCATTAATCAAATGTGGATCTTTGAATATGCTCCAGGATATTCTAATCTATTCGTAATCACTTAATTTAAGACTTAAAAATGAAAAATTAATTGAGATATCCGCAAAACTTATGTAAACGATATTATTCTTTAAAAAGATAATTATATGAAATAAAAAGGAGCATTAGCTAGACTTCAAAACATGAAAAGGACTTGAAATGTTTCAAGAAGATCTTGAATACTCAAAACATATAAGAATTTTGCAAGCATCACCACAAACGTCAGCCCATATCTTTAGACTAATTATAAGATCGTATTAACACCTTTTTATAGTATAGATTAATAAAACGGAGTTGGACATGCCCATTCGCCTTATTTAGAGAGTTATCTTAGTCAAAGTCGAGATATATTGCTATAATATATCAAATTTTGAACACTTTTAATGAAATTGCTGATTTTCATCACTGAATATAGTAAAAAGTTTGTTTTGCTTTTTTTCTCCTTTGGCCTTACCGTATAAGTAACCTCGATTGATACTTCCGTTTAAATAGCAATTGCAAGTGTAACTGAAAAATCTTATCCTCCTTGGACTTTTTCTATGAGCAAGCAACATATTAAATTTTAAATTCTTTGTGACAGAAGCAAAACATTTCCTTAATCAACACACAAAATTGAGGATTACGACTTTGAATTTAGAAAGGCTCTGCTGTCGACATCCAGATAAGCAATTTGGTTGGGACTTTATGACAATCTTTAACGTAAGGCCGTTTATACTTAAGTTATATACACAAACAATTTATTTAAACATTGAGTATATAACATGTTATTTACTTCTGTTTACTATATACAGTTGCCAATTTTACAAGTAAACTAAATTAGATTTAAAATTCTATAACATATAATATTAAGTCTTCCCATAAATCATAATCATACCACGCCAAAAAAGCTTAGTCCCACTAGCCTTAGATTATCACAAACTAAAGAAAACTCAACTCCCCATTGCCCCTCCAATATGTCAAATATTTTACAACAAAAAATCGTGTCTCATTTCTTTTCTTGCTTTCTAATCAGAGCCAGATAGAATTTTGTCCTGATGGAATTGAATAACTTCTTTCCCACTTCGTCTTATACAAAAATATTTATCTTCCCATAGTAAGGTACAATCATCACACAGACAGTAAAATACCAATCGTTTGGTAAATAAAATATAATCCAGGATTATATTTATAGCGCCATAAATCACGTGAGATAATAATTTTATTTTAAAAGAAGTTGATTCATATCAAACGATCCCTTTATTAGAAAAATCATATCATTGATTTAGTGAACACCTTAAATAATTCATGGTGGGTCCATATTCGTAGTGATAGGTTCAATTTCAGGGATGAAGAACTGATCAGTTGAATATTTTTTTTTTTTTTAGAAACTAGATCACTTATATAGTTCAACATTACTTTCTATACATTTATTTTAAAATCTTAAATATTTATTTCGAGTTGTTATAATTAACCATATCAAATAACATACCCGATATAATCTGATAAAAATATAAATATAACTAGTTATTTTTAGAATTATAATTTTCAAAATTTAATATTTTTGAAATTCGGTTTAACCGGTTAATTATACACTAGAATAGGCCACTAAATAAAAGCTTTTCTAGTACATTTCCACAAATTTACACGCACACGCACTAACAAAAAAGTTAGTTCCTTGTCCATATAATTATACCAAAATATAAGTGGAGGAACCATAGTACAAAAAAAATAAAAATATCAAGATTCTCTTGAAGAAAAAAGAAAATGGGTAACAACATAGGAGGAACTACGAAGAAGACAAAGGTAATGAAGATTAACGGCGAAATCCTTAAACTGAAGACACCAATAACAACGTTAGAGGTAGTTAAAGATTACCCAGGTCATGTTTTATTGGAATCAGAAGCAGTGAAGAAATTTGGGATTAGAGCTAAGCCATTAGAGCCAGAACAAGAGCTGAAGCCGACCAAAATATATTTTCTTGTAGAATTGCCTCTGTTTCCTAAAGAAGAAATTATTACTAGTAATAATAAGGTTACAAGAAGGGTGAAATCTGATGTTTATATGAACGCACAAGATCGGCTGGAGTGCCTTATGTTAAGCCGGAGATCGGCTTCAGATTTATCGATTTCGAAGCCGAGTAATGGAGCTGTTGTTCAGCTGAAGATGAAGCTGCCTAGAAGTGTCGTACAAAAGTTGATTGAAGAAAGCAGAGATGAAACAGAGGTTGCTGAGAAAATTATGGATCTTTGTATGCACAATTCCTAAAATTTACTTTGTTTTGCATCTTTTTTTTTTGTTTGGTCGTGAATTGCTATAAACAATAGGCTCAAAATCTAGTTTCAAAAATTGCATATATAGTTTTATAGAAATTTCTGTTTAGTTGCTGTTAGTATTGTTATAATTAGTGTTATTTTTCAACATTTTTTTTTCTCTGTGTTAATGGATTGATTCGTGGTTTAGCTAAGGATCTGAGATCATTTGTGACCATTCGTCAAGTATGACAAATATTCTTGTTGCTCTTATCCATCCCACTTCTATTTTGTTTTTTTCTCTCCCTCCAAATTTATTTGATTCCACTACGTTAATTTTGCCTTTCGGTTTTGGTCGTTATACAATCTCGCGAGATTATATTGAATTTAATTTTGTTATTGTAATTGTTATTGTTACTATTATTTGAAAGAATCTATTCAATTAAAAAAAAAAATACTATATTTAGTATAATTACAAGGTCCTTTTTATTTATATATTAGATTCTGTAATCAGAAAAAAGAAATTGTTATCGATTGCATTATCATCGAGAGAAGTAAATAAATCCCTGACTGGAGTACTTCGATTAATTTTGTATAGTTAAACTAAAAAATGTACTTATTTTTCATGCGTAAGTAGATAGAACTTCATTGTTATTAACCTTAGAAAAGAATTGAAAGTAAATTGATTGAACAGTAATTTATTTGATTTTATTTATCTTTTAGCCGAAACTAAAGACCCCACCCACCCCTTTTTCAATTTTAAACCATGCTTCAGTTTCTACCTTTATCTGCCTTTTCCTAAACAAATTGTACTTCCCGATCCCTATCCTACCTACTGTTTTCAGCTATATTGGTTGCAATTGATCTTCAAATGGAATTCCTTTTAACAACAAACATATTTGAGTTCGATAATTTTGATTCAAAGACAGATTTATTTTAAAATTTAAAGTTTTATCTGTCAATGATTATAGTATAATTTCAACCTCTTTTGATAACAAATAATCTTTGAAAGTTTTTGTTCGACTCAAATTCAATTGAAAGCTTGAAGCTTTGTTCGTAAAAGATTATAGTATTTTCAATCTATTTCAACAACTAATTGATATGAACCAAAAATTAAAATCGAATCTCTTGTTTTTAATTGAAAACACATGGTATTGTATTTTTTTTAATTTGTAGAATGACTGTAAATGAAGATGAATTAAACAAACATTTTTTTCTTTGTTTAATTTAATAGGTTTTGGGTTTATGTTTGAATGGAGATAAAGGGCTAGCTTGTTTTTTATTTTTATTTTAAATGTCATCATATTTGTTCGAGGATATTGAAAAAGAAAGGATTTTTTAAAATTTTTGAATAAAAATAAAAATAAATTTGGCGTGTCTATCCGTTAGCCCTGAGGTATACACAATTCAATAAAATTGACATAAAAATATACACCATCTTAAAGTTTATAAGAGTGGTTATTGACGTTATTAGTATCATGATTCAAGATATATTTATCAAACATTAATAAATTGAACTAGAAACAAGGAAAACTACAACAACTCCATTTATTAATGGAATCCTAGGCTGAGTATCTTTGACAAATCTTTTTCTCTCGTCATTCTTTAAAAACTTATCAGTAATAATAGCAATGGAGCAGCTACATATATATATATCTATCTTATCTCTCATTCCCAACAAGAACAGCAGAAGAAGCAAAAATGTGTCCTCATGTGCTTCTCTTTCCCCTTCCAATTCAAAGCCCTATCAATTCCATGCTTCAACTTGCTGAGCTTTTTTGCCTTGCAGGTTTACAAGTTACTTTCCTCAACACGAATCACAATCAACAGCTTCTCTATCGTCACACCGACGTCGAATCTAGATTCAGGCAATATCCTAAATTTCAATTCCGGACTATTTCCGATGGTCTTCCCGACGATCATCCCCGGTCGTCTCTTCTGTTTGGAGACCTTATTACTTCCTTGCAAGCTGTGGCAGAGCCTTTTCTTAGAGAAATAGTAACAGAATCCGGTGTCACGTGTGTTATACCTGATGGATTATTTTATTATGCAGTGGATATTTGTAATGAGCTTGGAGTTTCTGTTATTTCATTTGATACTATTAGTCCTTGTTGTCTATGGGTTTATCTCTGTTTCCCTAAACTCATTCAATCTGGAGATATTCCCTTCAAAGGTACTTTTCATTTTTGGAATTGTATTAATATTAGTGATTTATGGCCAAGTAAATTTTTTTTTAATTATGTTGTTAAGGAAATGATTTGGACGTGTTGATAGAAAATGTACCTGGCATGGAAGATCTTCTACGGCGTCGAGATTTTCCATTCTATCGTCTCACCAATTGTGCAACCGACCTCTATTGTCAACTTGCTCTCAAGGAAATCCAAAGTATACCTCGATCCCATGGACTCATATTAAATACATTTGAAGATTTAGACGGTCCGTTACTCTCTAATATTCGCACTCATTGTCCACAAACATATGCGGTTGGACCGCTACAATTGCAACTCAAAACTAGGCTTGCTGATAAATCAATGTCCTCTTCGAATAGTTTGCGGGAAGAAGATGGCAGTTCGATTCAATGGCTTGATGCACAGCCCGTAGAATCAGTAATCTATGTAAGTTTTGGAAGTCTTGCAACTTTGACAAAGGAGGAAATGTTGGAGTTTTGGCATGGATTAGTAAATAGCGGAATCAGATTTTTGTGGGTCATGAGGTCCGACTTATTGAGGGAAGAGGAGTTTAGCCACCAATTTGTCAAGGAGCTAGCGGACGGTTGCAAAGAAAGAGCCTACATAGTGAGTTGGGCTCCACAAGAGAAAGTACTATCCCACCCAGCTATCGGTGGATTTTTAACTCACAGTGGATGGAACTCGACTATGGAAAGTATTGTTGAAAGAAAACCCATGATCTGTTGGGCTGTTTATGTGGACCAACGAGTCACTAGTAGATTTGTGGGTGAAGTGTGGAAAATTGGGTTGGACATGAAAGATATTTGTGACAGATACATTATTGAGAAGGCAGTGAAAGACTTGATGGTAACAAATAAGGATAAGTTGAAGAAATCAGTTGACAAGTTATCTATGTTGGCAAAAATTAGTGTTGGTGAAGGAGGTTCATCATACAATGCTTTTGAATCTCTCGTCATAGACATTAAAAAGTTAGGAAGAAGAGACAAGGATATCAATCCAAACTGCATAGGATACACAGGGTAATACTACCAATCATTGATTGTATCATTTCTTGTTCTTTTATTGGATACTACAAGTTATTCATACAAGTACACTAGATGAGATAAAGCCCGCGATACCATGGGGTCGCGCAATGTTAGTGTATAAAATTGTATGTTTTGCCTTTTAAATAGGTTATTTTCTAAGAATTGAAGTCATGTCAGATATAAACTTTAAAGAATTATGATACAGAAATATAAACTTATGCCTCGAAAAAATGATTAGAAACACAAGCATAAACTATCAGCCCTTGAGGCTATCGACCTCAGTTTCCTAGAGAAGAAATTAGTAGTAGTAAGGTTATTCAAATGGTGAATTCTGCTGTTCATATGAACGCACAGGACCTTCTGGAATGCCTTATGTTGAGCTGAAGATCGGCTTTGGATTTGTCAATTTCGAAGCCGAGTAATAGAGCTGTAGTTTAGCTGAAGATGAAGCTTGCTTAAAGGTGATACAAAAGTTGTTTGTAGAAAGTAGAGATGAAACAGAGGTGGCTGAGAAAATTATGGTTCTTTGTATGCCCAATACCAGTCATGACAGTTTTTTTGCTTAATTGGTTTGCAATAGGGTCAAATTTAGTTTCTACAATTGCATATATACAGTTTTACAAAAACTTCTGCTCTATCTGTTGATTTGCTGGTGATATTGTTATAAGTACACCATCTATTTTCTCAGTTTCACTTTTTGGCAGTAAAAGAAAACATTTTTCAATTTTGTCATGTTTGGTTGGTTTAAAATTTAAATGTTATGAAAATATTTTCCAAATTAACTTATTTTATCCAAATTTAAGAAAAAAAACGACTTAGCTCCAGTAAATAAGGAAAACATTTTCTTTCATACCAAACAATTTTTTTCCCAAATTTTGTGAAATTCCTTTTCAATCAAACACCAGCAGTAAAATGGAGACAAGAGGGTTGTTCATACAAGGGAAAAGACATAAATTTCCCCTTCAACTTGTATCGAAAAGTCAGTTACACGCTTAAATTATCATAGTGATCTATTACACACTTATACTATTCAAAAGTGAATTTACTAATCTCCCGACACTGAAGTGAGGGTTCGAGTCATCACATGAGCAAAATGTTGGAAACTCTCACGGAGGTGTTAAAAAGAAAGAAATGTAGAACAAAAAATAGAGGAGTGTCTTAATCTTTTGTTTAAAGGTAGGATTGAAATGAATTAGAAGATAAGATTTTGGTGGGCATACAAAGGTAGTGAGGCTTTAACAAATTGTTTGCTGGAGTGGCCAGAAAGTTGGCCTATCCCCCTCAGATGAAACATGTAGGGATTTTCACATCTCCCTCAGTTAGTTGTTTACTCCAAGATAAGGAAACAACTAAGTTTTCAATTATTATCTAAGAAAATAATAATGAAAACTTTATGTTCAGTCTCATCACATGGTTGAGAGAATGAGTTGTTGGTTTCTGATGTGATACTCTTAACCGGTTTTATTCTTTTGAGTTAGCTTTTGAGATTGAGCTAAAAATTAAAAGTTCATTTATGTATATACGAGAGATTATTAAGAAAAAACTACATAAATTTCATGCTTTCAATAAGTTTATTTTCTGGAGCAGCACTTCTAAACTCTCTGTAATAATATTACATCAAATGAACTGAAATTGATGAAAAATGCCAAAACCCTGCAACTGTAAATTACTCTGTATATACATATATTATTTGAGTTCTTTTAAATCCCAACATAATTACAACCATCAAACATATCCAGAGAAAGAAGAAACAGAGTAAAAAGAAGGCACAAGTAGTGAAAATTGATCAATCGAGCACAAGATTGCCATTAGCATCATATGAAATTTTGCCTGAAAAATCCAAAGGACGACACTTTTCTCCTTTAATAATAGTCCTCTTCCATAGCGCGTTTTCGTCTTCCCAATTAACTTGATAATCATCATCATCATCGTCATCAATATCATGTTCCACTTTTTTCCTCCAAGATATCATTTTTACCATCAATAGAGCTTTACTACTTATGCTGCTCTCTAGCCTTTCTACTGGCTTTTTACCCCCCAATTGCACACTCTGCCTCTTCTTCTTTTCTCTCTTGTGAAATCCACCTCCACATAAAAAGGCCATCATGGATACTTTAACCAAGATTATTGCTAGCAAAATGATCAAAAAGAAAAGTAAATGAGAGGAACAATCAAAGGAAAGAAAATTGAAGTTTGTTATGGATGATTGCTTCCTAGCGTTATGGCTATATACTACTTCAGTAGGCAGAGTAGAACCACTTGTTTCCTACTATTACATTGAAAAGTCAGAAGTCAATACTTTTACTAGTTGAACATTCAGGGAAATTCATTCAAGTTAAAATATTGTTAACATTTGCCTCAGTTAAATTTAACTTTAGTTTTGTTTTTAATTCGTAGAAAATGGTCTTTTCATACCCATTATTTTCTTGGAGGCGAAGTTTTAAGTTTTGAACATACACTCCTCCTTTCTTTTTTTCGTACCAAAACTCGATAACATCTTTAAGCTAATTGATCAAATCATATTAAATTCTAGCGCCCTCTTATAGTTACTAAAATTCTATAATTATTAGCCTTTGCTTGACGTGCTGGTGTATTAAAGGAATTATTGGATATCTCTTTGAGCCTTTTCACCTCGACAAAGTAATTTCCAGCAAAATGTTGAAGTCGTTGTTTCTCTATTATAAAACAGGCCAAATTGGTCATTGCGTAAGGAAGGTGACTGAAAATTGACTATGACTGGACTGATGATCTTCAAAATGAATGGATGTAGGGTTGTCATGAGTTAAAGAGTGTTAACACGTCAGGTAGACTTGACTCACTGACTTGAGTAGTCTCTGAATAAAAACAAACACTAGAAACATTTTTAGGTTCAAAGTAAAATTTTGACCACCCAAAATTTGAATGAAAAATAAAGAGAAGAACTTTGAATGACAAATTGCCAATGACCATGTCATGCGCAACGTTGTGTTCATTACTATATGTCCAACATAAATTGCATATAACAAATCGATCCAGATTACTACCACCCATTCTATGGTTCGATCTTTCAATTTTTTCTATCCTGCTATGACAGTGTTAAGAGGACGACAAGAAAAAAAAAATTGTTTCAATTCACATAATTAACAAATATACAAATATTTTAGGCCCTCCGCGATTAATTTAAAGAGCATAGTTGATGGAAAATACAATTTCTAATCAGTCCTACCAAATGACCCCCACACGAAATCGACATCGTTAAGGTGCAACCACGAACTCAAGAATTTAATCAAATACAAATACACAAGAGAAACATATGCTTATATATCATAGTGCATTACAAAAGCACCATACATCATTATTGTAGTTCAAACAAAGCACATAATAATTCATTTATATATATAGATATAGAGTAAGGTAATTAAAACTACTAACATACATTTATAGTAACACCATTGGAAGTTGAAAATAAGAAAAACAAAAAGTAAATTAAATAGGAATGGAGTTGGTGACTGAAGGATAAATGACAGTGGCTGGATGACCCATTATCCGACGTCCCTTGGAGTGACGGAACACATAAACAAGTGCACCAACCGGCCATTCTACAATTGCTGCCGCAGCAAATGCCAAGAAACCAAGTGTTGGCCCCACCACCTTGCACCTACATACATTTTTTATATATTATTAATAATAATTATAGTTGAAACTCAAAATTAATAGTAGTAGTACTAACCTACAAGGATTGCTGGCATTGCCACACTGTACGCAGATGGGAACTCCAACGAAACCCATACAGTATTTTCTTAATTGGCTAAGTAGACAGTCAGAGGACCAGCTTGAGCAAAAAGGAAGAACAACAAGGCTGCAATTTTTGCAATGTTACACACAAATTTTACTAAAAGGAGCATTGATACAAAATATGAAGAACAAAGACTGCGGGTATTAATAGGATTTGTATCGCTAAGCTGATATGGATAATTGCGGTGCTGGTTGTTGATGATGATTATTTAAATATGGAATTGGACACGTGTTGGTTTCTGAAGGTGGAGGCAGAAGACACCTGTTAATTAACTGTACTCTTACGACACGTGTCCAACGCCAAATATAACAATATTATCATGACCAAGTTAGTTTTCTTTTTTATTTTTCTTCCTTTTAGTTTCGTTTTCGTTTTTGTTTTTGTTTTTTCACTCCGCGATACACATTGTCAAAGAAGAATAACCTATGAGGAAATTTAATACATTGGTGATTTACAAAAACAGTATATGTTAAATCAACTTTGAAAACCAGAACTTAAACAAACTCATATATATATAATATATACCCGCTCAATGAAGATAATCCGCACTAGACAAGTTTGATGGGACGAGCTTGACTCAAAGACGAAAAGTTTCAAATTTGAGACCTTAAGGTCTCAAATATTATTGAATACAGAGAGTAGCACCGTAAAATAACAGAAGTATAATTTATAGCTACTTTATATATGGAATTTGACCTTTCACCTAAAGGCACATATAAAGCTAGATTCGATTCTCTGTGAACTTAGAAGAGTAATCTTCTGGCAACTTGATTAAGGGAGTTTTGTGATTTCAAGTGATAACTGATTGAGTCAATAATTACTTCTTTAACAAGATTAATCAAAACTTATTTGCATGGAACAAATACCTGTGAACATCTTAAGAATGCCCTTTCTCAAAATGAACTAATAAACCATACAATTATTGTAGCCTTGGATTCCAAATACACACACACTTATCAGCCACATGCACCCAAGCTACATTGATGCTCATGAACTTTATATGTTATTCCTTTCGTTTTTTATAAAAGTATAAAGTCATCAATATAAATGTATAGGTTATTTATATTTCATGGTACTAAGAAGATCTCAAATATAACGCTACATATTATTTTTCACGGTTCAATATATTATTTAAATAACAAAAATTTTTTTTTTTTTTAGACTTCAGAATAGAATAGATTCTAAAGTGTAAGTGCAACTTATTATTACTGTTAATACGATATAAATAATTAAAACCTGATAGAGTAAAAATAAAATAAAATTTGCGGTCAATGGGTATTATAGCTTACTTAATATGTTTCAGAACTAATGGATTATTCAAAGTTTCCAACAAAAAGGGTACACCATCTTAATATTCCATTAGAGAGGCCACCATCAACTTGGATGGATCCTTTATATGTACCAGAGTGTTCTCCATTTCTGATAACACAATGGCCATAAAATTCTGTTTTTTTCCTCCAGCTTTAATCATCCTAACAATATTAGCTTTCAGTTCTTCTGGAAATGCTCAAGTGTCTGAAGTAACAACTTCTAATCAAGCTCTTCTCTATGCTTCTCCACCATTACCAAATGGATGTCCCTATTCTTGCCTTCCACCACCTACCCCTACCGACTGCCCACCGCCTCCATCGTCACCACAGCCACCACCTTCAGGGCCAGTCAACTACCCTCCACCAATGGGATATTATTTGCCACCAGGTGGAGACTTTTTACCTCCACCGATGTACGTGTATGGTCCTCCACCTCCTAATCCAATTTTACCTTACCTCCCATTTTACTACAAGAATCCACCACCACCACAGTCTGATTACTCTTCTGCTGCAACTCATTATGTGACAAGCAAGCATATGAAGAGCAAGTTATTGCTACTATTGACACTTCTCCTTATCTGGTGATCACCAAACAAAAGTGGCACGATTTCATATTCAATATTTTTTAGTATTTGGGACCAAGGAAGTTCATGTGCAGCTAGCGCTATGTAGTAGTACAAATATAACTCTTGCTGGGTGCATCTGAGGGCAACAGTACAAGTGGCAAGTACTTTGATTCTCTTTTAGCTATTTTTGGAGGAGAAACTTGAAAGAAAAAAAGCATTTCCTTTTTTTCTGAGTTATTCTCCCACTAAAAAATTTTTCCTACTCACCAAAAACCAAAAAACCTAACAAATGGTTCTGGAGAGAAGATTTAGTCATATTTAAGTATTTCATGATTGCAATGGCTGCTACATCTATAAATGCATATAAGTATAAACATATATATCAATGAGGATTCATATATCAATCCGCACACAACTGACCAAAATTCTGGAGATGTCACAGAAAGAACAAATACAACTCTAATATATCGTGCAATGGGCATAAATAGGATCTAACACGGTCAGCTAAATTGACACAATAAATTCAGAAGAAAAATGCTTTAATCCTATAGGCTAAAAGGGGACATCACCACAAATCTTGTGGCTAAAAGTAACCCCTAATTCATCCTTTACATCTTCAGATATACAATCATCTTTTATAGCTCTAGAACCTATAACTCATGTCTAAAATACTCCCGACTTATTATTTCATCAGATAAATAGTAATTTACAACAAATAGGCAATGAAGTCAGATGCCTGCTCTATATGATTTTGCATATATTGATGTATGAAGACTCTGAACTCCAATAAGTTGACTAACAAACCCGGTGAACTTCCAACATGCTCTACAATTATGCACTCCCAAGGTAAATCTTAATCAGCCAAGTCATTCACAAAACACCAGAGTCCAAAGCTTTAATTGTTTTGCGTCGCCACATAGCTGTTTCCAGATCAAACCTCAACTCCCATGTTGGCCAGTAGTGTAAATCCTGCTTCAATGTAAGTACTCGAGGCTTCCCATTCAGGTGGACTGTTCGTACCCGGACAAACTCTCCATGCTCTATTGTCTGTGAAAAGTTAATTAGGCATAAGAAACAAGATATCAAGTCAGAAACTTCAAGATCAGTAACAATCATTTTTGTAAGGTAATAGTATTGATATGTACCAGCCAAAATGCTCATGAAAGAATTCATCTAAAATGTATGAGCGCATTACAGGGAGTATAATGAAAGGAGAAAGTCGAGCATGGTTTTCAGGTAGGAGTGATAAATGGCCACATTTGGCTGGATTGGGAGGGGGGTGCTTAACCCAACCAACTTGACCCAATTATTTTAAAGGGTTTAAGCCTTGTTTAAGTAATTATCTCAATTTTGTCCGATATTATTTTGAATAAACCAATACAACAAAAATGAATACTTCTATTAAGGAAGACAAACATGAGTACTTTTATACAAGAAAAAATCCAAATTTACATGTTTCGATTGGAAACAAACTTAAAACACACCACATTTACATTTTCGGGTCACTAATTCCAGCTATTAGCATATCATCTCATGCAAGTCCTTAATTCTGGCAAAGCTTCATCATGAAATAGGAAGCTTATAAGCTTGGTCAAAATGGTAATACAACGAATTTCACAAATAAAAATATTTCAGAAAGAGATCTAGATTTAACCATGTCTTCTTTAAAAAATAAATAAATTATACTATGTTATATTTCATTCAAGATGTATTTTTAAAGCTTTTGGAAAGACAAGGACTAGGATTTTCAGTCAAAATTGTACAATATCAAGCTTATAAAATACACAGTCGTGAATGCAAGATAGAGATACCAGGATCATCTAAATCCAGTATTTCCAGTGTAGAGCATAAATTTATCCATAAAAAATTGTTAAAATTGCCACAAATAGCAAGTCTGAACCCATAATTTTATTAATGCAATTAATTAAATACTACAAACTTTATAGGTTGAACAAATAAAACTCAAATTCAATATCCACCTATGAAGATCAAGGTACAAACATAGAAAAAATCAAAGTAAATCTCATGCAGTGAACTCCGATTAAGATAAATCTCATGAGTTTGAATTGGGCTAGTACTGGCATAAAAAGGAGATCCCCTTGAAAAAGGATTGTGTTGGGCGAGTTAAAAATCAAATCAATACAAAAGCTTCAATTAAAGAATCACACAACCAAACAACAAACTAGATGGGTTATCTCAGATGTAAACAAAAAGACTAGAATATTTGTAGTAACCATATTGCACCAAGAATTTAAGATTGTGTTCAATATTAAGCACATTATCATTTTCCTCTTAAAATCCTAGTCCTTGTCTTTCCAAAATGCTCGAAATATGGAAGCAGGAATGGCATACCATTTTGAGATGATCAATAAGGATCTTATAGTCTGTTTGGTCAAATTTCTAAAATCAGCTTATTTTAAAAAGTGAGAAGCAGTTTGTGTTTGGCAATCAGACACTTTTGAGCAGCAATAAGTGTTTGACCAAGGCTTTAAAAAGTGATCCAAAAAGTATTTTTTTTCAAAAGTGCTTTCAGAAGTAGTACTTACGGAGAGAAGTTACTTTTTAAGCATCTTGAAAAACAGTTTTTGCTTCTCACTTTAAAAAAAACAGTTTCTGCTTCTACTTGAAAACACCTTTTTTCTCCTATAGCTTGGCCGAAAACTTATTTTGAAAAAAACACTTCAGGGCTTGGAGAAACTTGACCAAACAGGCTGATATTCATAGCTCTTTCCATACACATAATGTATACAAAGCATCTCAAAATAACAAGTCATACCTTCGTCACGTCAACAAAAGCATCCAAAGAGGGAGTTGGTTTTCCATTTACTTCAACGATCCATTGAAGAGCATAAAGACCATATCGATGTACTGGACTTCCATGACACCACCTGAGAGTTACTTTAGGCGTTAATAATAGTCGCATATAGCTAATAGCCAACTTAAAAAAAGATACCCAACTGTCCTCTCTTTCTTTTACATTAGATGCATTACAAATACATAATGAAAATAAGAAGACTTAATTAGCCCTACATCAGAACAAAGAGTCTCACAATGCCTGCTGATCAGTGATAACCAGGAACAATTACAGCAAACTGTTCTTAAATTAATAAATTATGACGAATCCAGTAAACGATTCCCACAATAATATTCCTTTTAAATTAAGTCTTGAAAAGAAGCAGTAAAGAAAAAATGTGTCTTAATTTGGATTTTGTTCTTCCTTTTACAACAAATGCATACCGGAAACTTATTTCCTTTTTCCTTTCTTTTGCTGCAATTTTCTCAAGAAACATAAAGCTTTACACAGTCTAGCAATTACTCACCTTGCTACATATACTCCATGGCCTTCATCAGGAAGAAATCCAAGTGCACGTACTGCTGGATGAGGATCTTGGACGATACAACCACACCAACTTATTGCACGACTTGTTCCATTTCCATCCCTTACATCCGTTCCCACAAGCAGTTCAATTTCCTGGCCCTGAGAATACATCAAATAACATAGGAGAATTTAAGAGAATGAAGAACTAACTTAAGCAGGACATATGACAGTAGTAAAGTTCTTTTGGTCATATATGAGGAAAATGGAGAAGAAATGTAAATGCAATTTGCCCCAGCGGCTCACCTGACGAAAGATTGTCAAGTTAAGTCTTCCATCGCTGTCATTAGACCTGTCTAATGATTGGCATGCATGTTCGATGTCACGAAAGCATGTAACTGGCTCTTTATTAATTGCTAAGACCATATCACCTTGTTCTAATAAATTTTCAGCTTTAGATCCAGCAAAGCAGCCTTTAACTCGCAATACTTGGCGTCTCATGGGATCCTTCTTTACGAGGGCCTAGAAGGTATAATATGTATCAAGAAAAGGCTTACATCAGACACATGGTGCACCCATTTCAAACATCTTCTGCAGATTATCTAATTTGTTTTGTAAGCTCATTAGGCATAAAACCAAGTACAAATTATAAAACGGGAAGAAACAAGAACATAAATAGTCTATGTTTAAGAAACAAGAAACTAGGACAAATAATTTGAGTAATCATAGATGCCCATGATGAATGGTCAAGTTGCATCCATGGATCTACCATCCAACCAAAATCCAAACATATAAGAAACTAGATTATCTTACCATTATATTATCGCCTAGATCTCTGCTACTAGATGATATTATCGCCTAGTTCTCTACTACTTGAGGATTGATCTTAAAGTTATAAAGAGAGTTTGAAACCTAATCTGACCAAAACAAGTCTAGGTTGTTGGAAAAAGATTTGTTAAAAAAACATCTAGTTTATAGATGTGTTTTCGCTAATGTCTTTTCAATTAAAGACACTAAAAAGAAAAAAACACTTGGGCTAAGATATGGATAGAAGAAAAAGCAAGAACAGGCAATGACAAAAGAAACAGATATCTCCACAACTAGTAGCTTACCTGGATCCAAGTATCGCTGAGTCCAAAACTTCGAGCTTTGGAAAGCAAAGTAGGGTAAAGTTCAACTTCCAATATTCTTAACCGAGGCATAGGTCTTTGCAAACCATTTATAAGACGAGGAGGTCCGTCGGCACCAGAAATAATCTTGCCAAGGACTTGGCTTATGGTATAAATTGGAATACCTCGGACAAATTGGTGATCTTCTGACGAACTACAACCATACTTGAGCTGAAAACCGGAAGAAGCAAAACCATTTAATTAATCAAAAAAAGAAGTTCTAAAACTAGTTACATCCAATTAACAAGAGAGAAGCATCAGTTGGGAGTACAAACCTGCGTTGAAAAGCTTCCCCACAGAGCTTGAACCCTGCCACGCTCATCAGTCAGCACACCAGAAAATGTACTTCCAAAATCTGAAATGAGAATCATATGGAATCAAAGAATGCCCAAAACAAATGCCAAAACTGCTATAGAATTAGAGAATCAAGAAGGCCATAAGTGGGAGAGTATTACCAGTGTCAAGCTCAATCACTTCCATGTTTGTTGCTCTGTAACGTGGACAATCAGCAGAACCAATATTCACAGCAGCAGATGGGTTGGTCACAACCGATTTTCTGGAAGTTGCCTGTAGACTTCTGCTCAATCCCACAAGATACACTGAATCTCCACGACGAAGAGCAGGATCTATTGGTAACAAAATTCAAAATTTAGGCAAACATTAGCAAAATTATTAATGGATAAGACAGCCATTTTCTGGTGGACATGATAACTAGAGCAAACTAATTGAACCTACAAGGGTTCCACTTGCCACAATGGTATCCATTAAGATTATAAAACAATCCCATATACATTTTCGGCAAGAGAATAATCAATAAGGTGGTGTGGGGAAGCAATTTATAAACTCGG